GTACACAGTACACACAGTACACACACAGTACACACAGTGAACACAGTGAACACACAGTACACACACACAGTACACAGTACACACAGTACACACACCGTACACACAGTACACCCTGCTGCCTACACGGTACACACAGTACACACACAGTACACACACAGTACACCCTGCTGCCTACACAGTATGCACAGTACACACAGACAGAGTGTACACACAGTACACACACAGTACACACACATTACACCGTGTACACACAGTACACAGTACACACACAGTACACACAGTGTACACACACAGTACACACACAGTACACACACAGTACACACACAGTACACACACAGCACACACAGTGTACACACACAGTACACACAGTACACACAGTACACAGTGTACACACAGTACACAGTACACACACAGTACACAGTGTACACACACAGTACACACACAGTACACACAGGGTACACACACAGTACACACAGTGTACACACAGGACACACAGTACACACATAGTATACACACAGTGTACACACACAGTACACACACAGTACACACACACAGTGTACACCCTGCTGCATACACTGTACACACAGTACACACACAGTACACACAGTGTACACACAGTACACACACAGTAGACACACAGTACACAGTGAACACACAGTAGACACACAGTGTACACACACACACAGTACACACAGTGAACACCACGGGGTAGTACACCCTGCTGCCTACACAGTACACACAGTACACACACAGTACACACAGTGTACACACAGTGTACACAGAGTACACACACAGTGTACACCGAGTACACACACAGTGTACACCCTGCTGCCTACACAAAGTACACACACAGTACACACAGTGTACACACAGTCCACAGTGTACACACAGTACACACAGTGTACACACAGTACACAGTGTACACACAGTACACAGTGTACACACAGTGTACACACACAGTACACAGTGTACACACAGTGTACACAGTGTACACACAGTGTACACACAGTACACACACACAGACACACACAGTGTACACCCTGCTGCCTACGCACAGTACACACACAGTACACAGTGTACACACAGCACACACACACAGTGTACACACAGTACACACACAGTACACACAGTGTACACACCGTACACAGTGTACACACCGTACACACAGTACACACACAGTGTACACACAGTATGCACACAGTACACACAGTGTACACACACACAGTGTACACACAGACACACAGTGTACACACAGACACACAGTGTACACACAGTACACACAGTGTACACACAGTACACACAGTGTGTACGTGTACACACACAGTGTGAACACACACACACAGTACACGCACAGACAAACAGTGTACACACACAGTACACACAGTGTACACACAGTGTACACACAGTACACACAGTGTACACAAACACAGTGTACACACACACACAGTGTACACGCACAGTACACACACAACACACAGTACACACACAGTACACACATAGATACACGGTACACACATAGATACACAGTACACACACAGACAAAGTGTACACACACAGACACATAGTGTACACACACACAGTGCACACACACACACACAGTGTATACTCACACACAGTGTATACTCACACAGTGTACACACACACACAGTGTACACACACAGACACACAGTGTACACCCAGACACACAGTGTACACACACAGTGTACACACAGTACACACAGTGTACACACAGTGTACACACACACACAGTGTACACACACACACACAGTGTATACACACAGTGTACACACACACAGTGTACACACACAGTGTACACACAGCCACAGTGTACACACAGTACACAGTGTACACACAGTACACAGTGTACACACAGTACACAGTGTGCACGCACACAGTGTACACGCACACAGTCACACAGTACACACACAAACACACAGTACACACAGACACACAGTACACACAGAGACACACAGTACACACAGAGACACACAGTACACACATAATATACACACACAGTGTACACACACAGTGTAAACACACAGTGTATACACACACAGTGTACACACACAGACACACAGTACACACACAAACACACAGTGTACAGTGTACAAGCACACAGTGTACACACACACAGTGTATTCACACAGTGCACACACACACAGTGTACACACACACAGTATATACACACACACACACAGTGTACACACACAGTGTACACACACGCAGTATACACACACACACACACAGTGTACACACACAGTGTACACACACAGTGTACACATGGCCATACAGTGTACACACACAGTCACACAGTACACACACAGACACACAGTACACACAGAGACACACAGTACACACAGTACACACATAGTATACACACACAGTGTACACACACATACAGTGTACACACACAGTGTACACACACACACAGTGTACACACACACACACTACACTATACACTACACTACTATAACACTACACTACTATACACTCCACTATACACTACAACACAACTATACACTACACTATACACTACACTACAACACTACTATACACTACTACTACACTATACACTACACGCTACTACTACACTATACACTACACTATACTACGATACACTACATTACTACACTATACACTACACCTACACTATACACTACACTAGACACTACACTATACACTACACTATACACTACTACTACACTATACACTATACTATACACTACTACTACAACACTATACACTACACGATACATGACACTATGATACACTACTACTACACTACACAATATACTAAAATATACACTACACTAAACATGACACTACTATACACCACACTATACACTACACTACTATACACTACACAATACACTGCTACTATACTATACACTACACTACCCCTACTACCACTACACTATACACCACACTACCCCTACTACTACTACACTACTACTACTATACTAGTCACTACACTACTACTACACTATACACTACACTACCACTACTACACTACTACTACTACTACACTAGTCACTACACTACTACTACACTATACACTACCCCTACTACTACTAATACACTACACTAGTACTACACTACACACTACACTATACACTACTACTACACTACCCCTACTACTACTACACTATACACTACACTACTACTACACTATACACTACACTATATACTACACTATACACTACTACTACACTATACACTACACTACACACTACAATATACACTACACACTATACTATACGCTACACTACGATACACTACACTATACACTACTATACACTACACTACTATACACCACTACTATACACTACACTATTTAATACACTACTATACACTACACTATACACTATACTAAACTACACTACACTACATGACACTACTACTACACTATACACTACACTACTACCACACTATACACTACACTATACACTACACTACTATACACTACTACTACACTATACACTACTACTACTACACTATACACTACACTATACACTACACTAGTACTACACTACCCCTACTACTACCCACCAGGCCGTGCGTGCGTGCGACAGGAAGTGAGGAACTCCGCCGTGAAGACGATATCCACGTCGCAGAAGAACAGCAGCACCTCCCCCCCCGCAGGCCACGCCCCCTCACCCCCTGCAGGCCACGCCCCCCCGCCGACGCCCCTCCCCCCTCCCCCACCCGGCCAGGCCCGAGCCCCCGCGTCGAGCCCAACCCCGCGGGAGAACTCCCCGGCCAGCGGCACCATGGAGACGTTGGGGAAGCCCTCCAGCCTGGGGGGTGGGGGGGGAGTGGGGGGGTGGGGGGAGTGGGGGAGTGGGGGAGGGGGGGGAGTGGGGGTTGAGGGTTAGGGGTGGGGGAGGGGAGGGAGGGGAAACTCATAGGTCAAAGCTGAGTCTCACTGTTCATGTGTGTGTATGCATGTATGCGTGTTTCAGGAAAGTGCGGTCCTGCACGGATGCCATATTTTCTGTCCGTCTGCTACAGCAGAGGTGTAGGGAATTCCAGCAAGACCTACATCTCTGCTTTATTGACCTGGTCAAGGCCTATGATACCATCAGTAGGCCTGGGCTCTGGGTTCTTCGTGCTTTTGGAGTACCTGACCCTCTGCTCACGATCATTAAGGACCTTCATGATGGTGAGCGGGCCCGGGAAAAAACTACATGGCCGGGAGTCAGAGCCATTCCCTGTACACCTTGGGGTGCGTCAGGGATGTCCTCTGGCTCCCACATTATTTAACATCTATTTTGACCACGTAGTTCGTGAAGCCTTCAATAGCTGTACCGGGGGAATCTCCATATGGTACAGATATAATGGGAGGCTGATCGATGCCCGGGTGCGGTCAAGGGATGGCTCCCTATTGCTCAACCACGTTATGTATGCTGATGATTTGATAATAGCTGCTCATTCAGAGGAGGAGTTGGAGACGCTGTTGTTGAGACTGGAGCGTGCTACTAAGAGATGAGGCCTTACCATCAGCCCCACCAAAACTAAGCACCTGCCTGGGTATTTTGTACCATCGGACACTCCACCTCCACAACTCCCAATCGGTGATGGGGCAGTTGTGGAGAGAGTGGAGAGTTTACCATACCTGGGCAGTGTGCTTATGACCGGCTCCAGTTTAACAGCAGAGGTCTCACTCCGAATCAGTCGAGCGGCAATATCTTTTCATCGGTTGCGTAATGCTGTGTGGAAGCTACCTGGTCTGTCTCTCCGCACTACGCTTCAGGTCTTCTCGGCCACGGTCATTCCCTCCCTTCTCTACGCTTGCGAAACGTGGACCCCCCTAATGGAACATCTTCGCCGGTTATAAACATTTAGGCTGGCCTGCCTACGATCCATCCTGGGTTTAACCAGGCTAGACTGTGTGAGGAGCTCACAAATCCTTGGAAGATCTGGGCACGGTCCCATCGGTGAGCTCCTCCGGCAGGCAAGGCTGCGTTGGCTGGGTCATGTAGCCCGCATGCCGAGCCACCGCATGCCGAAACAGCTTTTGTTCGAGGGGGCTAAGCGGGCACGGCACGGGGTAGAGAAGAGATGGAGTGACGTGGTACAGGAGGACGTGGAGCTGAGTGGACTTGCCGATGACTGGTACCAGCGGTGTCAAGATCGGCCTCTGTGGAGGAGGCTCGTGAAGAACGCTACTGGGCAGTTGGAGGCAGTCGCCCTCCAAAAACAACGGAGGGTGGAGGAGCGACGCTCACAACAACGAGCGGAGCGCCGGGTGGCTAAAGCACAGCAGGTTGGCACAGTAGGGGGCACAGGTGGTGCATCAGCCAGTCATCTCAGTCAGTCGACCCGTGGCACCTGGGTCTGCCCCGTGACCTCCTGCCAGCGGGCGTTCGACACTTCACGTGGCCTCAGGGTGCACACAGCCTGGCACAAGCGTCGTGATGACGTCACCGCCACTTAGTGGCGAATGGCGGTTGTTGTTGTTGTATGTATGTATGTGTGTATGTGTGTGTATGTATGTGTGTGTATATGTGTGTGTGTGTATGTGTGTATGTATGTGTGTGTGTATGTGTGTGTGTGTATGTGTGTGTGTATGTGTGTGTGTATGTGTGTGTGTGTATGTGTGTGTGTATGTGTGTGTGTATGTGTGTGTGTATGTGTGTGTGTATGTGTGTGTGTGTATGTGTGTGTGTATGTGTGTGTCTGTGCGTGCGTCTCACTGGGTGCTCCTCAAGATGTCTTCCACCTCGCGAAGTCCCGGAGATCCGAAGTAAACGACGGTCAGATGCACCGTGCCTCGCTGGCTCGCAACTACCTGCCTGTAGCGTCACACACACAGCGTCACACAGCGTCACACACACACAGCGTCACACACACAGCGTCACACACCCAGCATCACACACACAGCGTCACACACAGCATCACACACACACAGCATCACCCTACACACAGCATCACACACACAGCGTCACACACACAGCGTTACACACGCAGCGTCACACACAGCGTCACACACAGCATCACACACAGCGTCTCACACACACACAGCGTCTCACACACACAGCGTCTCACACACACACAGTGTCACACACACAGCGTCACACACACAGCGTCACACACACAGCGTCACACACACACAGCATCACACACACAGCGTCACACAGCGTCTCACACACACACAGCGTCTCACACACACACAGTGTCACACACCCAGCGTCACACAGCGTCACACACACAGCGTCACACACATAAACACAGCGTCACACACACACAGTGTCACACACACACAGCATCACAACAACCGCCATTCGCCACTAAGTGGCGGTGACGTCACCACGACGCTTGTTCCAGGCCATGTGCATCTTGAGGCCACGTGAAGTGTCGAACAACCGCGGGCAGGAGGTCACGGGGCAGACCCAGGTGCCACGGGTCGACTGACTGAGATGACTGGCTGGTGCACCACCTGTGTCCCCTACTGTGCCAACCTGCTGTGCTTTAGCCACCCGGCGCTCCGCTCGTTGTTGTGAGCGTCGCTCCTCCGCCCTCCATTGTTGTTGGAGGGCGACTGCCTCCAACTGCCCAGTAGCGTCCTTCACGAGCCTCCTCCACAGAGGCCGATCTTGACACCGCTGGTACCAGTCATCGGCAAGTCCACTCAGCTCCACGTCCTCCTGTACCACGGCACTCCATCTCTTCTCTAGCCCGTGCCGCGCCCGTTTAGCCCTCTTGATCCGGCCGAACAAAAGCTGTTTCGGCATGCGGCGGCTGGGCATGCGGGCTACATGACCCAGCCAACGCAGCCTTGCCTGCCGGAGGAGCTCACCGATGGAACTTAGCCCAAATCTTTCAAGGATTTGTGAGCTCCTCACACAATCCAGTCTGGTTAAACCCAGGATGGATCGTAGGCAGGCCAGCCTAAATGTTTCTAACCGGAGAAGATGCTCCATTAGGGGGGTCCACGTTTCGCAAGCGTAGAGAAGGGACTGATTCGGAGTGAGACCTCTGCTCTCAAACCGGAGCCAGCCACACACACACACAGACAGAAACACACACACAGATACACCATCACCACCATCACCACAGTCACCACAGTCACCACCACCATCACCACAGTCACCACCACCATCACCACCATCACCACAGTTACCACAGTCACCACCACCATCACCACCACCACCACAGTCACCACCACCATCACCTTCACCACCGCCCACCTAAAGTTGTGCATGAAAGCGCGGAACGCGTTGGTGCGCCGTGCCAGCGGCACCACCACGTGGAGCGGCGGGAAATACCCGCCGCCACCACCGCCACCACCGCCACCACCGCCACCACCGCCACCACCGCCACCACCGCCACCAGCGCCACCACCGCCACCACCACCACCATCGCCACCACCGCCACCACCGCCACCACCGTCGCCAGCGCCGTCCACGGCCACCACCACGGGCGGTGCCAGGGGGCGGAACAGCGTGACCACGCGCAGCGGCGATCCGCCCACCCCGGCGGAGTCATCAGAGCCGTCGGTCTCCGTGGGGCGTCGGAAGGCGAGGCGATACTCCGTGCCCTTGTCACGCTCGCTGCGGAAAAGCCCTGCGGTGGGAGGGTGGGGGGGTGGGTGAGTAAGTGAGTGGGTGAGAGAGTAGGTGAGTGAGTGAGTGAGTGGGTGGGTGGGTAAGTGAGTGGGTGGGTGGGTGAGTGGGTGAGTGGGTGAGTGGGTGGGTGAGCGAGTGGGTGGGTGGGTGGGTGAGTGAGTGAGCGAGTGAGTGAGTGAGTGGGTAGGTGGTTGGTTGGGTGAGTGTGTGGGTGGGTGGGTGGGTGAGTGAGCGAGTGAGTGGGTGGGTGGGTGGGTAGTTGGTTGGTTGGGTGAGTGAGTGGGTGGGTGGGTGGGTGGTTGGTTGGGTGAGTGGGTGGGTGGGTGGGTGGGTGAGTGGGTGGGTGAGTGAGCGAGCGGGTGAGTGAGTGAGCGAGCGGGTGAGCGGCACCTTCAACGAAGTGAGCGAGTGAGTATCCGTCACCCCCCGCCCGCTCCCCGCCATTGAGGGCGACGATGGCGGCGTCCACGGCCTGGACGAGCTCCTCGCGGCGGTCGCGACGGAGAGGCCGCTCCTCGGGGTGGCGCGTCAGCCCCGTCTCTAGCTGGTACACCTGGGACAGTGAGTCACTGACTGAGCAAGCGAGCGGGTGACTGAGTGAGTGACTGAGTGAGTGAGCGAGTGACTGAGTGAGCGAGTGACTGAGTGGGTGACTGAGTGAGTGACTGAGCGAGTGAGTGACTGAGCGAGTGAGTGAGTGAGTGAGTGGGTGAGTGAGTGAGCGAGCGGGTGACTGAGTGGGTGACTGAGTGAGTGAGCGAGTGACTGAGTGACTGACTGACTGAACGAGTGACTGACTGAGCGAGCGACTGATTGACCGAGTGAGTGACTGAGCGAGTGACTGACTGACTGAGCGAGTGAGGGACTGACTGAGCGAGTGAGTGAGTGACTGACTGAGCGAGTGACTGACTGAGCGACTGACTGACTGAGCGAGTGAGTGACTGAGCGAGCGGTGCACCACCTTGTGTGCAGTGAAGCTGTCGTAGGAGATGACCGCGTACTCGCTGGCTGAGTGACTGACTGACTGAGCGAGTGAGTGACTGACTGAGTGAGTGACTGAGTGAGCGAGTGACTGACAGAGTGAGTGACTGAGCGAGTGACTGACTGAGCGAGTGAGTGACTGAGCGAGTGCGCGAGCGACTGACTGACTGAGCGAGTGACTGACTGAGCGAGTGAGTGACTGACTGAGTGAGCGCGCGAGCGAGTGACTGACTGAGCGAGCGTGCGAGCGACTGACTGACTGAGCGAGTGACTGACTGAGTGAGTGACTGACTGAGCGAGTGACTGACTGAGCGAGTGACTGACTGAGCGAGTGACTGACTGAGTGACTGAGCGAGCGACTGACTGACTGAGTGAGTCACTGAGTGAGTGAGTGAGTGACTGAGCGAGTGACTGACTGAGCGATTGACTGAGCGAGTGAGTGACTGACTGAGCGAGCGGCTGACTGACTGACTGAATGAGTGAGTGACTGAGTGAGTGAGTGACTGAGCGAGTGACTGACTGAGCGAGTGACTGACTGAGCGAGTGAGTGACTGAGCGAGCGGTGCACCACCTTGTGTGCAGTGAAGCTGTCGTAGGGGATGACCGCGTACTCGCTGGAGTAGCGCCCCCCCCAGAGAACCTCAGAGCGCTCGGCCTGCGACGTGAGGAAAGCCTGCAGGCTCGCCTGGCCGCCTGGGCCCGAGGCATCCATGGGGGCCGGGGGAGCGGCTTGGGCCGCATCCCCTCCAACCGCGGGGGCAACGCCCACCACTGCGCCGGCCCCGCCCACAGCCACGGAGGCCCCGCCCCCCACCACGGAGGCCCCGCCCACCACCGCACCTTGCAGGGTCTTCAGCTGCTCCGTGCGGTGGTGGAGCTCGGACTGGGGGCAGGGGTGGGTGAGTGAGTGGGTGAGTGAGTGGGTGAGTGGGTGGGTGGGTGAGTGGGTGGGTGAGTGGGTGGGTGAGTGGGTGGGTGAGTGGGTGGGTGGGTGGGTGGGTGGGTGAGTGGGTGGGTGGGTGGGTGAGTGGGTGGGTGGGTGGGTGAGTGAGTGGGCGAATGGGTGGGTGGGTGAGTGAGTGAGTGGGCGGGTGGGTGGGTGGGTGAGTGGGTGGGTGGGTGGGTGAGTGAGTGGGCGGGTGGGTGGGTGAGTGAGTGAGTGGGCGGGTGGGTGGGTGAGTGAGTGAGCGGGTGGGTGAGTGAGCGGGTGGGTGGGTGGGTGAGTGAGTGAGTGGGTGGGTGAGTGAGCGGGTGGGTGGGTGAGTGAGTGAGTGAGTGGGTGGGTGGGTGAGTGGGTGGGTGGGTGGGTGAGTGAGTGGGCGGGCGGGCGGGCGGGCGGGTGGGTGAGTGAGTGAGTGAGTGGGCGGGTGGGTGGGTGGGTGAGTGAGTGAGTGGGCGGGTGGGTGGGTGAGCGGGTGGGTGGGTGAGTGGGCGGGTGGGTGGGTGAGTGGGCGGGTGGGTGGGTGGGTGGGTGGGTGGGTGAGTGAGTGGGTGGGTGAGTGAGTGAGTGGGTGGGTGAGTGAGTGAGTGAGTGGGTGGGTGGGTGAGTGGGTGGGTGGGTGGGTGAGTGGGTGGGTGAGTGGGTGGGTGGGTGAGTGGTTGGGTGGGTGGGTGAGTAGGTGGGTGAGTGGGTGGGTGGGTGGATGGGGAGTGGGTGGGTGAGTGAGTGAGTGGGTGGGTGAGTGAGTGGGTGGGTGGGTGAGTGGGTGGGTGGGTGAGTGAGTGAGTGGGTGGGTGAGTGAGTGGGTGAGTGGGTGGGTGAGTGGGTGGGTGAGTGGGTGGATGCATGGGTAATTGGGCATATGGGTGATGATAGTGGTGGTGATGCTGGTGGTGATGGTGGTGAGGGTGGTGGTGAGGGTGGTGGTGAGGGTGGTGGTGAGGGTGGTGAGGGTGATGGTGGTGATGCTAGTGAGGGTGGTGAGGGTAGTGCTGGTGGTGAGGGTAGTGCTGGTGGTGAGGGTAGTGCTGGTGGTGAGGGTGGTGATGGTGGTGATGGTGAGGCGTGCTCACCTTGAGCTGCGCCAGCTGCCTGCGCAGCACCTGCAGCTGCTGGTGGTGCCGAGCGGATTGCTCCGCCAGCTCGGCCTGGTGCTGCCCCAGGCCTGCGTCTCGCCTGAGCCCCGCCACCGCCTCCTGGCCACGGGGGGCAGACTCCTCGGCTGGGGGGGGGGGGGGGTAGGTGGGGGGGTAGGAAGGGTAGGTGGGTGGGGGGTGGGCAGGTGGGTGGGGGGGTAGAGGGGGGTGGGGGGGGAGGTGGGGGGGTAGCGGGGTAGTGGGTTGGGGTGCATTCAGTCACAAAGAGAAAGATCCCCCGTGTAGCCTCTAGCAGGCTGTAGGGGCAAGTGCTGTTAGTAGCACCTACACACAGACAAAGATCCCCCAGGTAGCCTCTGGCAGGCTGTAGGGGCAAGTGCTGTTAGTGGCACCTACACACAGACAAAGATCCTCCGTGTAGCCTCTAGCAGGCTGTAGGGGCAAGTGCTGTTAGTAGCACCTCGGTGAGTGTGGCCTAAACCATGGTGGGTGTGGCCTAAATCACGGTGGGTGATGTAGGCCACACCCACCGTGGTTTAGGCCACACCCACCGTGGTTTAGGCCACACCCACCATGGTTTAGGCCACACCCACCATGGTTTAGGCCACACCCACCGTGGTTTAGGCCACACCCACCATGGTTTAGGCCACACCCTAGCGTGTGCAGCAGCCAGAGCAGAGCGGCCACCGCGAGGCAGGCGCCCGGCACGAGGCGCCTCGGCCAATGGGAGAGCAGCTTGCGGGTCACCATGGCGACGGGCGGCCAATCGGGCGCGGCCCTGGGGGGGGGGGGGGGAGACAGAGGCGATTTAAGACAGAGCCCTGTGGTGAGTTGAGGCACCCATTGATTATCACAGAGCCCCATCGATTATCACAGAGCCCCACTGATTAACACGAGCCCCATTGATTAACTCAGAGCCCCATTGATTAACACTGAGCCCCATCGATTAACACAGAGCCCCATTGATTATTACAGAGCCCCATCGATTAACACGACCCCATTGATTAACACTGAGCCCCATCGATTAACACACAGCCCCATCGATTAACACAGAACCCCACTGATTATCACAGAGCCCCATCGATTAACACTGAGTCCCATTGATTAACACAGCCCCATCGATTAACACTGAACCCCATCGATTATCACAGAGCCCCATTGATTAACACAGAGCCCCATTGATTAACACTGAGCCCCATCGATTAACACAGAGCCCCATTGATTAACACAGAGCCCCATTGATTAACACAGAGCCCCATTGATTAACACAGAGCCCCATTGATTAACACAGAGCCCCATCGATTAACACAGAGCCCCATCGATTAACACAGAGCCCCATTGATTAACACAGAGCCCAATTGATTAACACAGAGCCCCATTGATTAACACAGAGCCCCATCGATTAACACTGAGCCCCACTGATTAACACAGCCCCATTGATTATCACAGAGCCCCATCGATTAACACAGAGCCCCATTGATTAACACAGAGCACCATTGATTAACAAAGAGCCCATTGATTAACACTGAGCCCCATTGATTAACACAGATCCCCATCGATTAACACTGAGCCCCATCGATTAACACAGAGCCCCATCGATTAACACAGAGCCCCATCGATTAACACTGAGCCCCATTGATTAACACAGAGCCCCATTGATTAACACTGAGCCCCATCGATTAACACAGAGCCCCATTGATTAACACAGAGCCCCATTGATTAACACAGAGCCCCATTGATTAACACAGAGCCCATTGATTAACACTGAGCCCCATTGATTATCACAGAGCCCATTGATTAACACTGAGCCCCATTGATTAACATAGATCCCCATCGATTAACACTGAGCCCCATCGATTAACACAGAGCCCCATTGATTAACACAGAGCCCCATCGATTAACACTGAGCCGCATTGATTAACACAGAGCCCCATTGATTAACACAGAGCCCCATTGATTAACACAGAGCCCCATCGATTAACACAGAGCCCCATTGATTAACACAGAGCCCCATTGATTAACACTGAGCCCTGTGGTGAGTGAGGCCCCATTGATTATCACCGAGCCCCGTTAGTATTGACTGTGCTCGTCACCGCGTGGTGCCGGGGCTTGCGAGTTCACGGCCGGCAAGGCGGCGCTGTCATCACGGCACGCGGCGCCGGCCCTAGCGGGGCTTGGGTGAGCGCGGTGACACCGGGACCGGCGCGCGGTGCCGGATTCCCGGTGAGCGAGAGAGAGCGTCAGCCAGCCAGGGTCACACGTTGGGGGTCACGACGCGCCGGTTGAACCTGCCGGCACGTCACCGGACGCGATAGTGGAGGGGGGGGGGCTACCGGTGGGCGAGGGCCAAGGGCGCTCGACGTGGTCCAGAGGAGCTCTCGGGAACCGTCGAGAAAGAGCCGGAGAGATCTAGAAGGTGGGTGGGGCCGAGGGCGGAGATAGCCCAGGGGGAGGGGCTCGGGGTTCTTCAAGTGCTGCTGCTGCTACTGTGAAGAAGATTCACGTCGGCGAGGAGAAGAAGGCCTCTCGCCACGCAGGCCGAGACACAGCTCGTGGTGTGAGCCGGGACACAGTTCGTGGTGTGAGCCGGGACACAGTTCGTGGTGTGAGCCGGGACACAGTTTGTGGTGGGAGCCGGGAGAGTGAACCGGGACACAGCTCGTGGTGGGAGCCGGGACACAGTTCGTGGTGGGAGCCGGGACAGCTCGTGGTGGGAGCCGGGACACAGTTCGTGGTGGGAGCCGGGAGAGTGAACCGTGTCCAGCTCGTGGTGCGAGCCGGGAGAGTGAACCGTGTCCAGCTCGGCCGTAGCGTGGCTGGATGGGCGTTCGAGACCCGAGTGTGGATTGTGTTACGTTTTGATGTTTCATAAATAGTGTGAGTAGTAGTAGCACAGTAGTAGTATAGTAGTAGTATTATAGTAGTAGAGTAGTAGTATAGTAGTAGCACAGTAGTAGTAGTATAGTAATATTAGTGTAGTAGTAGTATAGAAGTAGTATAGTAGCAGTATAGTAGTAGTGTAGTAGTATAGTAGTAGTGTAGTAGTAGTAGTATAGTAGTAGCACAGTAGCAGTAGCATAGTAGTAGTATAGTAGTAGTATAAGTATAGTAGTATTAGTGCAGTAGTAGTATAGTGGTAGTATAGTAGTAGAAGTGTAGTAGTATAGTAGTAGCAGTGTAGTAGTAGTAGTATAGTAGTAGCAGTGTAGTAGTAGTATAGTAGTAGTATAGTAGTAGTGTAGTAGTAGTATAGTAGTAGTGTAGTAGTAGTATAGTAGTAGTGTAGTAGTAGTAGTGTAGTAGTATAGTAGTGTAGTTGTAGTAGTATAGTAGTGGTATAGTAGTAGTATAGTAGTAGTGTAGTAGTATAGTAGTAGTGTAGTAGTAGTATAGTAGTAGCATAGTAGTAGTAGTATAGTAGTAGTGTAGTAGTAGTATAGTAGTGGCATAGTAGTAGTATAGTAGTAGTGTAGTAGTAGTATAGTGGTAGTATAGTAGTGTAGTAGTAGTAGTATAGTAGTGTAGTAGTAGTATAGTAGTAGTATAGTAGTAGTGTAGTAGTAGTATAGTAGTAGTGTAGTAGTAGTATAGTAGTAGTGTAGTAGTGGTATAGTAGTAGTATAGTAGTAGTATAGTAGTGTAGTAGTAGTATAGTAGTAGTGTAGTAGTAGTATATCTTCTTTGGTTCTTTCGGTAAAGTCACGTAGAATGAGAATAACATAATAAATTGATAAAATAAAATAACACAATAATATTCTCACGACTTTTCGGCCACAACACAAGCGGCCTTCATCAGGTGAAGGGACTAGACTGTCTGGTAGGACAGCGCTGGAGTGAAAGAGCCACGTTCAGATCACGGCCTTTAAGCTTACAAATTGAGTTGTACCTGCGGTGATTGCTATATCGGGGAGACGAAGCGACATGTCTCTGAGCGAATTCGCTAGCACAAATCAGATTTGAAACACGGCAGAACGAATTCTTCTGCCGTAGCTGATCACTGTTACAACGCTGTGGGTGATCACGATATAATTTTCTCCGATACCAAGGTTCTTTGCAAACCCACGGGTTTTTATCAGAGATTTGTTCACGAGGCCATTCAGATCAACAAACACAGACACAATTTCAACCGAGAAGATGGTTTCAAATTAAGCAACCATTGGAAAGATGTTCTAAATCGAACCAAACATTAAACTAATTTTCAATGGTACAGTATATTTTTTGAAGTAGTGGTACCCCAAACTTTCGCAGCACATGCGGGTACACCCGCATGTTCACCCCCTCTACACCTTTCATCATGCTAAGTTCGCCAATTAAATGCTAATTTTTATGCTAATTCCTTTGTCAAGGCATCTTAGTCCCTCTCACACAGCTTAAAGGCCGTGGTCTGAGCTTGGCTCTGTTTCACTCCAGCGCTGTCTTCGAGACAGTCTGGTCCCTTCACCTGATGAAGGACGCTTGTGTTGTGGCCGAAACGTCATGATTATTGTTGTTTTATTTTTTTACCTACGTGACTTTACCGAATAGAACCAAAGAGTACGGATCCTTGCAGTCACGAAAGCTTCAAATTTAGAAAAGTAAAGTAGTAGTATAGTAGTAGTATAGTAGTAGTGTAGTAGTAGTATAGTAGTAGTATAGTAATAGTATAGTGGTAGTATAGTATTAGTATAGTAGAAGTATAGTAGTAGTGTAGTAGTAGTATAGTACCAGTAGTATAGTAGTAGTATAGTAGTAGTGTAGTAGTGGTATAGTAGTAGTATAGTAGTGTAGTATAGTAGTAGTATAGTAGTAGTATAGTAGTGTAGTAGTATAGTAGTAGTATAGTAGTAGTGTAGTATAGTAGTAGTATAGTAGTAGTATAGTAGTGTAGTAGTATAGTAGTAGTATAGTAGTAGTATAGTAGTGTAGTAGTAGTATAGTAGTGTAGTAGTAGTATAGTAGTGTAGTAGTATAGTAGTAGTAGTATAGTGGTAGTAGTATAGTAGTAGTATAGTAGTAGTGTAGTAGTATAGTAGTAGTATAGTAGTGTAGTAGTATAGTAGTAGTATAGTAGTAGTAGTATAGTAGTAGTAATGTAATAGTAGTATAGTAGTGTAGTAGTATCGTAGTAGTATAGTAGTGTAGTAGTATAGTAGTAGTATAGTAGTGTAGTAGTATAGTAGTAGTATAGTAGTAGTATAGTAGTAGTAGTATAGTAGTGTAGTATAGTAGTGTAGTAGTAGTATAGTAGTGTAGTAGTATAGTAGTAGTATAGTAGTGTAGTAGTAGTATAGTAGTAGTATAGTAGTAGTGTAGTAGTAGTAGTATAGTGGTAGTGTAGTAGTATAGTAGTAGTAGTATAGTAGTGTAGTAGTATAGTAGTAGTAGTATAGTGGTAGTAGTATAGTAGTAGCATAGTATTGTAGTAGTATAGTAGTAGTATAGTAGTGTAGTAGTATAGTAGTATAGTGATAGTAGTATAGTAGTAGTATAGTAGTGTAGTAGTATAGTAGTATAGTGGTAGTAGTATAGTAGTAGTATAGTAGTAGTATGGTAGTATAGTAGTGTAGTAGAATAGTAGTAGTATAGTAGTAGTATAGTAGTAGTAGTGTAGTGGTAGTGTAGTAGTATAGTAGTAGTATAGTAGTAGAAGTATAGTAGTAGTATAGTAGTAGTATAGTAGTAATGTAGTAGTATAGTGGTAGTAGTATAGTAGTGTAGTAGTATAGCAGTAGTAGTGTAGTAGTAGTATAGTGGTAGTAGTATAGTAGTAGTATAGTAGTAGTATAGTAGTGTAGTAGTATAGTAGTAGTAGTGTAGTAGTATAGTGGTAGTAGTATAGTAGTAGTGTAGTAGTATAGTAGTAGTATAGTTGTAGTATAGTAGTATAGTTGTAGTATAGTAGTAGTGTAGTATAGTAGTAGTGTAGTAGTAGTAGTGTAGTAGTAGTATAGTAGTAGTGTAGTAGTAGTATAGTAGTAGTATAGTAGTAGTAGTGTAGTAGTAGCATAGTAGTATAGTAATAGTAGTGTAGTAGTAGTATAGTAGTAGTGTAGTAGTATAGTAGTAGTATAGTAGAAGTAGTGTAGTAGTATAGTAGTAGCATAGTAGTAGTAGTGTAGTAGTAGTGTAGTAGTATAGTAGTAGCAGTATAGTAGTAGTATAGTAGTAGTATTATCGAAGTAGTAACGTAGTAGTAGTATTTGAGCGGTAGTAGTAATAGTATATAGGTGGTAGTATTCGAGTAGTAGTAGTAGTATATGAGTGGTAGTAGTATATGAGTGGTAGTTGTAGTATTTGAGTAGTAGTAGTAGTATATGAGTAGTAGTATATGAGTGGTAGTTGTAGTATATGAGTAGTAGTATATGAGTGGAAGTAGTAGTAGTATGAGTGGTAGTAGTAGTATTTGAGTAGTAGTAGTATTTGAGTAGTAGTAGTATATGAGTAGTAGTATATGAGTAGTAGTAGTAGTATATGAGTAGTAGTATATGAGTGGTAGTAGTAGTAGTATTTGAGTGGTAGTTGTAATATATGAGTGGTAGCAGCAGTATAAGAGTGGTAGTTGTAGTATTTGAGTAGTAGTAGTATTTGAGTAGTAGTATATGAGTGGTGGTAGTAGTAGTATTTGAGTGGTAGTTGTAATATATGAATGGTAGTAGTAGTATATGAGTGGTAGTTGTAGTATTCGAGTAGTAGTATTTCAGTAGTAGTATATGAGTGGTAGTAGTAGTATTTGAGTGGTAGTTGTAATATATGAGTGGTAGTAGTAGTATATGAGTGGCAGTTGTAGTATTTGAGTAGTAGTAGTAAATGAGTGGTAGTTGTAATATATGAGTGGTAGTGGTAGTATATGAGTGGCAGTTGTAGTATTTGAGTAGTAGTAGTAAATGAGTGGTAGTTGTAGTATTTGAGTGGTAGTTGTAGTATTTGAGTAGCAGGTAACCTCACCTCTGCTGGCAGTGAATGCTCACATCTGGAGCGGTGAGTTCAGAGTTGAGCTTCGGTGACCTGGGATCAGAAGTCAACCATCACCACCATCACCACCATCACCACCATCACTATCATCATCACTTTCATCATCACTTTCATCATCACCACCATTTTCATCATCGCTACCATCACCACCACTATCACCATCACCACCATCATTATCACTATCATCATCACCACCATCACTATCACCATCACGATCACCATCATCACCACCACCATCACCACCACTATCATCATCACCACTATCATCATCACCACCATCACCACCACCACTATCATAATCACCACCATCACCACCACTTTCATCATCATCATCATCACCACCATTATCACCATCACCACCACTATCACCACCATCACTATCATCATCACCACCATCACCACCACTATCATCATCACCACCATCACCACCACCACTATCATCATCACCACCATCACCACCATCACCACCATCATCACCACCATCTCCATCATCACCACCATCACCACCATCACCACTATCATTATCACTACCATCACCACCATCACCACCACTATCATCATCACCACCATCACCACCATCACCATCACCACCACCATCACCACCATCACCACCACCATCACCACCATCACCACCACCACCATCACCACCACCATCACCAACACCACCACCATCACCACCACCACCACCACCATCCCCACCATCACCACCATCATCATCAACACCATCACCACCACCATCACCATCATCACCACCATCATCACCACCACCTTCATCATCATCACTACTACCATCACCACCACCATCACCACCATCATCATCACCACCTTCATCATCATCACCACCACCATCAGCACCACGATCACCATCATCACCACCTTCATCATCATCACCACCACCATAACTACCATCATCATCACCACCACCATCACCACCACCACCATCACCACCATCTGTGTGTGTCTGTATGTGTGTGTCTGTGTGTCTGTGTCTATGTGTGTCTGTGTGTGTCTGTGTCTATGTGTGTCTGTGTGTGTGTCTGTCTGTGTGTGTCTGTTTATGTGTGTCTATGTGGTGGTGATGGTGGTGATGATGGTGCTCGCTAACAGCACTTGCCCCTACAGTCTGTTAAGGCTATATGGGGGATCTTTGTCTATGTGTGTGTCTGTGTGTTTGTGTGTCTGTGTGTGTGTGTCTGTGTGTGTATCTGTGTGTCTGTGTGTGTCTGTGTGTGTGTGTGTCTGTGTGTGTGTCTATGTGTGTGTCTGTGTGTCTGTGTGTTTGTGTGTCTGTGTGTCTGTGTGTGTGTCTGTGTGTGTGTGTCTGTGTGTGTGTACTTGCCCGTAGAGTCTGCTGAGGCTACAAAGGTGATCTTTGTCTTTGTACTGCACGTGCAGAGTTTGACACGTGGGTGGCACGTGGAGATTACGCAAACTCGGGACAGATGCCTCAGTGTGTGGGGCAGTGCTGAGTCTGTGGGTAGTGTTGAGTCTATGGGTAGTGTTGAGTCTATGGGTAGTGTTGAGTCTATGGGCAGTGATGAGGCTATGGGTAGTGTTGAGTCTATGGGTAGTGTTGAGTCTATGGGTAGTGTTGAGTCTATGGGTAGTGTTGAGTCTATGGGTAGTGTTGAGTCTATGGGTAGTGTTGAGTCTATGGGTAGTGTTGAGTCTATGGGTAGTGTTGAGTCTATGGGTAGTGTTGAGTCTATGGGTAGTGTTGAGTCTATGGGTAGTGTTGAGTCTATGGGTAGTGTTGAGTCTATGGGTAGTGTTGAGTCTATGGGTAGTGTTTGAGTCTATGGGTAGTGTTGAGTCTATGGGCAGTGTTGAGTCTATGGGCAGTGATGAGGCTATGGGTAGTGTTGAGTCTATGGGTAGTGTTGAGTCTATGGGCAGTGTTTAGTCTATGGGTAGTGTTGAGTCTATGGGCAGTGTTGAGTCTATGGGTAGTGTTGAGTCTATGGGTAGTGTTGAGTCTATGGGTAGTGCTGAGTCTATGGGCAGTGATGAGGCTATGGGTAGTGTTGAGTCTATGGGTAGTGTTGAGTCTATGGGTAGTGTTGAGTCTATGGGTAGTGTTGAGTCTATGGGTAGTGTTGAGTCTATGGGTAGTGTTGAGTCTATGGGCAGTGATGAGGCTATGGGTAGTGTTGAGTCTATGGGTAGTGTTGAGTCTATGGGTAGTGTTGAGTCTATGGGCAGTGATGAGGCTATGGGTAGTGTTGAGTCTATGGGTAGTGTTGAGTCTATGGGTAGTGTTGAGTCTATGGGTAGTGTTGAGTCTATGGGCAGTGATGAGGCTATGGGTAGTGTTGAGTCTATGGGTAGTGTTGAGTCTATGGGTAGTGTTGAGTCTATGGGTAGTGTTGAGTCTATGGGTAGTGTTGAGTCTATGGGTAGTGTTGAGTCTATGGGTAGTGTTGAGTCTATGGGTAGTGTTGAGTCTATGGGTAGTGTTGAGTCTATGGGCAGTGATGAGGCTATGGGTAGTGTTGAGTCTATGGGTAGTGTTGAGTCTATGGGTAGTGTTGAGTCTATGGGTAGTGTTGAGTCTATGGGTAGTGTTGAGTCTATGGGTAGTGTTGAGTCTATGGGCAGTGATGAGGCTATGGGTAGTGTTGAGTCTATGGGTAGTGTTGAGTCTATGGGTAGTGTTGAGTCTATGGGTAGTGTTGAGTCTATGGGTAGTGTTGAGTCTATGGGCAGTGATGAGGCTATGGGTAGTGTTGAGTCTATGGGTAGTGTTGAGTCTATGGGTAGTGTTGAGTCTATGGGCAGTGTTGAGTCTATGGGTAGTGTTGAGTCTATGGGTAGTGTTGAGTCTATGGGTAGTGTTGAGTCTATGGGTAGTGTTGAGTCTATGGGCAGTGATGAGGCTATGGGTAGTGTTGAGTCTATGGGTAGTGTTGAGTCTATGGGTAGTGTTGAGTCTATGGGTAGTGTTGAGTCTATGGGTAGTGTTGAGTCTATGGGTAGTGTTGAGTCTATGGGTAGTGTTGAGTCTATGGGTAGTGTTTGAGTCTATGGGTAGTGTTGAGTCTATGGGCAGTGTTGAGTCTATGGGCAGTGATGAGGCTATGGGTAGTGTTGAGTCTATGGGTAGTGTTGAGTCTATGGGTAGTGTTGAGTCTATGGGTAGTGTTGAGTCTATGGGTAGTGTTGAGTCTATGGGTAGTGTTGAGTCTATGGGTAGTGTTGAGTCTATGGGTAGTGTTGAGTCTATGGGTAGTGTTGAGTCTATGGGCAGTGATGAGGCTATGGGTAGTGTTGAGTCTATCGGTAGTGTTGAGTCTATGGGTAGTGTTGAGTCTATGGGTAGTGTTGAGTCTATGGGTAGTGTTGAGTCTATGGGCAGTGATGAGTCTATGGGTAGTGTTGAGTCTATGGGTAGTGTTGAGTCTATGGGTAGTGTTGAGTCTATGGGCAGTGATGAGGCTATGGGTAGTGTTGAGTCTATGGGTAGTGTTGAGTCTATGGGTAGTGTTGAGTCTATGGGCAGTGTTGAGTCTATGGGCAGTGCTGAATCTATGGGCAGTGTTGAGACTATGGGTGGAATTGAGTCTATGGGTAGTGTTGATTCTATGGGAAGTGTTGAGTCTATGGGTAGTGTTGAGTCTACGGGCAGTGTTGAGTCTATGGGTATAGACTCAACACTACCCATAGACTCATGACTATACTTTTAGCTGGCACAAAAACTGACACCTTTATACGAGGGATCATGTTTGCAATAACCACAACACAAGCAGTCAAAAATGCAAGCAAAAAGAAACATGATCCCTTGTATAAAGGTGTCAGTTTTTGTGCCAGCTAAAAGGGTAAAAACCTATTACTATATCTTGTTACTGGCAAAGGTCTCATAATGTAAAGGCGTATCCCGAGCTCTCAATACTCTGATAGTGCGCTGTTTTTGAGTTGTATGCCTTATGGTGTCATCTGGTCCAACACCGGTGGAGACTAGGCTCTAAGAAAAGCCGTCTTGGGTGTGGACCAATCAAATTCAAGGACAGTGCATATCATTATCAGAGTTGTCTCTCTTGGTTTGCATTTTTGACTGCTTGTGTTGTGGTTATTGCAAACATGATGCCTTGTATAAAGGTGTCAGTTTTTGTGCCAGCTAAAAGGGTAGTGATGAGTCTATGGGTAGTGTTGAGTCTATGGGTAGTGTTGAGCCTATGGGCAGTGTTAGTCTATGGGTAGTGTTGAGTCTATGGGTAGTGTTGAGTCTATGGGTAGTGTTGAGCCTATGGGCAGTGTTAGTTTATGGGTAGTGTTGAGTCTATGGGTAGTGTTGAGTCTATGGGCAGTGTTGAGTCTATGGTGCAGTGTTGAGTTTATGGGCAGTGTTGAGTCTATGGGCAGTGTTGAGTCTATGGGTAGTGATGAGTCTATGGGTAGTGTTGAGTCTTTGGGCAGTGTTGAGTCTATGGTAGTGTTGAGTCTATGGTGCAGTGTTGAGTTTATGGGCAGTGTTGAGTTCATGGGTAGTTCTGAGTTAATGGGCAGTGTTGAGTCTATGGGCAGTGTTGAATCTATGGGTAGTGTTTGAGTCTATGGGTAGTGTTGAGTCTATGGGTAGTGTTGAGTCTATGGGTAGTGCTGAGTCTATGGGCAGTGTTGAGTCTATGGGCAGTGATGAGTCCATGGGTAGTGTAGAGTCTATGGGTAGTGTTGAGTCTATGGGTAGTGTTGAGTCTATGGGTAGTGTTTGAGTCTATGGGTAGTGTTGAGTCTATGGGTAGTGCTGAGTCTATGGGCAATGTTGAGTCTATGGGTAGTGTTGAGTCTATTGGCAGTGTGAGTCTATGGGTAGTGTTGAGTCTATGGGTAGTGTTGAGTCTATGGACAGTGATGAGTCTATGGGCAGTGTAGATTCTATGGGTAGTGTTGAGTCTATGGACAGTGATGAGTCTATGGGTAGTGTTTGAGTCTATGGGTAGTGTTGAGTCTATGGGTAGTGTTGAGTCTATGGGCAGTGTGAGTCTATGGGTAGTGTTGAGTCTATGGGTAGTGTTGAGTCTATGGGTAGTGTTGAGTCTATGGACAGTGATGAGTCTATGGGTAGTGTTTGAGTCTATGGGTAGTGTTGAGTCTATGGGTAGTGTTGAGTCTATGGACAGTGATGAGTCTATGGGTAGTGTTGAGTCTATGGGTAGTGCTGAGTCTATGGGCAGTGTTAGTCTATGGGTAGTGTTGAGTCTATGGGTAGTGTTGAGTCTATGGGTAGTGTTGAGTCTATGGATAGTGTTGAGTCCAAGGGTAGTGCTGAGTCCAAGTGTTGTGCGTACTATCTATTGCACCACCACCACCCCCCCGAGCCTCCTTTCCCGCCCGAGGCTCCCGGGCAACCCCAGGGCCCCACCCAGCGCCCCCCCCCCCACCCAAGGCCCAGCGGCCCCCCACTGACCTGAGTGGTGAAGTATGGACGTGGCGAGACAGCGAGCAGTGGATAGAGCGTGCCGCTCATAGCGGCCCCTTCCCAAACGCGCTGCTCTTCTCGATCCTCCGTCTGGGATCCCGTAGGGGGCGGGGCCTACCCGGGTGGGAGGGGCGGGGTTGTTGGGTAGGGGGGCGATGGGCGGGGCGATGAGTATAGGAGAGGAGGGGCGAAGGGGGAGGAAGGAGGGCGGGGTTCGCCGGCTGGGTTGGTGGGGAGGGGACGGTGGGCGGGGCGATCGGGATGAGGGGGAGGGGCGAAGGCGAAGAAGGGACGGGGGTGATGGGGAGGGGCGATAGCAAAAGGGGCGGGGCGAAAGGGAAGGGGGAGCGACGCAATGGGGCGGGTAGTCGGGGGCGAAAGTTGAAGGGGCGGGGCGAAGGAGTAGGGGGCGGGGCGATATAAATAGCGCAGTCGGTGAACGGGAGTGGAGAGGAGAGGGGCGTGGCGAATGAATTTGGGGGCTGTCTTATGGGCGGGGCGATCGTGCCGAGGGGGCGTTGCGAATGCGAGAGATGGGGCGGGGCGGACCGAGGGGCGAGACACGTCTCCAAGTGGGCGTGTCTCTATATGCCAAGTTAGGACACATCGAAGCCCATTGGCTGCCCGTGCGGCTTTTAACATAATTTATTATTGCACGTGACAGCAGGGAGATTGCCATTGGAAACGTAATGGGTGGGGTGCAGAGGGGAGGGGGGGAATCGCCCCGCCATGTTGGGTAGGGAAATCTCCATTGTCAATGTAATTACCGGCATCGCCGCCATGTTGGTTAGGGGGACTGCCATTGTCTAAGTATTGGACGGATTCTCCGCCACATTGGGTAGGGCTGCAACGCCTTTACATGGATAAAGCGCCGCCATGTTGGGTAGGGGGCCGATATTGGTAATCCATTGGAGGGCATCACCACCATATTGGGTAGGGGAGACTGCCATTAACAATACATTGGAGATTGGTAGGGCGCCCGCCATTGGCAATGCATTGGAATGTATCGCCGCCATGTTGGGTAGGGTCGGGAGGGGGCACCGCCATTGGAGGGCGGGGCTTCCCGCCAATGACGTCACCGCCTTTGAGGAACAGAATCCGAGGTACGATCCTGTGGAGTGACATTCGAGGGCGATTAAAGTGACAAGTTAAAGATTTGAGATTTATATAGAAGATGTGGCTGGCTCACAATCATCACTGGGGGAGAGACAAAGGCGGCCGGGCGTGGTGGTGGTGCTCGTCACACAACCCCCTCTGTGTGTAGCCACAGTGCCGGTAGCCTTCATAGTTGATGCTGCTCCTCGCTTCTAGCAGCACTTGCCCCTACAGCCTGCTAGAGGCTACACGGGGGATCTTTGTCTGTGTGTAGGTGCCACTAACAGCACTTGCCCCTACAGCCTGCTAGAGGCTACACGGGGGATCTTTGTCTATGTGTAGGTGCCACTAACAGCACTTGCCCCTACAGTGTGCTAGAGGCTACACGGGGGATCTTTGTCTGTAGGTGCCACTAACAGCACTTGCCCCTACAGCCTGCTAGAGGCTACCTGGGGGATCTTTGTGTGTAGGTGCCACTAACAGCACTTGCCCCTACAGCCTGCTAGAAGCTACCTGGGGGATCTTTGTCTGTGTGTAGGTGCCACTAACAGCACTTGCCCTTACAGCCTGCTAGAGGCTACCTGGGGGATCTTTGTGTGTAGGTGACACTGACAGCACTTGCCCCTACAGCCTGCTAGAGGCTACACGGGGGATCTTTGTCTGTGTGTAGGTGCCACTAACAGCACTTGCCCCTACAGCCTGCTAGATGCTACCTGGGGGATCTTTGTCTGTGTGTAGGTGCTACTGACAGCACTTGCCCCTACAGTCTGCTAGAGGCTACACGGGGGATCTTTGCGTGTAGGTGCTACTGACAGCACTTGCCCCTACAGCCTGCTAGAGGCTACACGGGGGATCTTTGTCTGAGTAAAGGTGTCTGTGTGTGTATGTGTCACTGTGTGTGTCTGTCTATGTGTGTGTCTGTGTGATTCCCGCTCACGGCCAACACCAGTGACGATTATCTAAACCGGTCCCGGGCCTCCCCTAGGTCGACTCAGCCTCAAATGAGTACCTGGTGCGGTGTGTAAACATCGCCACTAGGGAGACAAAGGCGGTCGGGCGTGGTGTTGGCCACCCACCCCCTCGTGTACCGTTCCGGCCTTCATAGGTGCTCGCTAACAGCACTTGCCCCTACAGTCTGTTACAGGCTATATGGGGGATCTTTGTTCTTTGTGTCTGTGTGTGTGTCTGTGTGTGTGTCTATTTGTGTGTGTGTCTGTCTGTGTGTGTGTCTGTGTGTGTGTGTCTGTGTGTGTGTCTATTTGTGTGTGTCTGTCTGTGTGTGTCTATTTGTGTGTGTCTGTCTGTGTGTGTGTGTGTCTGTCCGTGTGTGTGTCTGTGTGTGTATCTGTGTGTGTCTGTGTGTGTCTATTTGTGTGTTTGTCTGTCTGTGTGTGTCTGTCTGTGTGTGTGTCTGTGTGTGTGTCTGTGTGTGTATCTCTGTGTGTGTCTGTGTGTTTCTGTGTGTGTGTGTTTCTGTGTGTGTCTGTGTGTGTTTCTGTATGTCTGTGTGTGTGTATCTCTGTGTGTGTGTTTCTGTGTGTGTCTGTGTGTCTGTGTGTGTGTGTCTGTGTGTGTCTGTGTGTGTGTCTGTGTGTGTTGCTGTGTATGTCTGTGTGTGTGTGTCTGTGTGTGTTGCTGTGTGTGTGTCTGTGTGTATGTCTGTGTATGTGTCAGGCCGCATGGAGGTGATGGGGCCTGCTGCTCTGCTCATCCTGTCCCTCGCCTGGCTCACTGCCACGCGGCCTCCACTCACACAGAGCGCCGGTGAGGGTCACCCTGTGACCGTGTTGTCTCCACGGCAACCGCGGTCTCCACGGTAACCCCGGTCTCCACGGTAACCCCGGTCTCCACGGTAACCGCGGTCCCCACGGCAACCGCGGTCTCCACGGCAACCTCGGTCTCCACGGCAACCGCGGTCTCCACGGTAACCCCGGTCTCCACGGTAACCGCGGTCTCCACGGCAACCGCGGTCTCCACGGCAACCGCGGTCTCCACGGTAACCATTATCCCTCTGCGTGTATTCAGAGATGGCGGGCAGCGCCCAGCTGGAGCACGCTGAGCTGGTGGTGCACAACGAGCTGAGGGAGACGCTCACCCTCACCTGGGACTCTAGCGACTGCTTCCAGGTGAGCTCCTCACCACACACTCCTCACCACCCACTCCTCACCACCCACTCACCACCACCGACTCCTCACCACACACTCCTCACCACCCACTCACCACCACCCACTCCTCACCACCCACTCCTCACCACCTACTCCTCACCACCCACGCCTCACCACCCACTCCTCACCACACACTCCTCACCACCCACTCACCACCACCCACTCCTCACCACCCACTCCTCACCACACATTCCTCACCACACACTCCTCACCACCCACTCACCACCACCCACTCCTCACCACCCACTCCTCACCACACATTCCTCACCACACACTCCTCACCACCGACTCCTCACCACCCACTCCTCACCACCCACTCCTCAACACACACTCCTCACCACCCACTCCTCACCACACACTCCTCACCACCCACTCCTCACCACACACTCCTCACCACCCACTCCTCACCACCCACGCCTCACCACCCACTCCTCACCACACACTCCTCACCACACACTCCTCACCACACACTCCTCACCACCCACTCCTCACCACACACTCCTCACCACACACGCCTCACCACACACTTCTCACCACCCACTACTCACCACACACTCCTCACCACACACTCCTCACCACACACTCCTCACCACCCACGCCTCACCACACACTTCTCACCACCCACTCCTCACCACACACTTCTCACCACCCATGCCTCACCACACACTTCTCACCACCCACTCCTCACCACACACTCCTCACCACACACTCCTCACCACACACTCCTCACCACCCACTCACCACCACCCACTCCTCACCACCCACTCCTCACCACCCACGCCTCACCACCCACTCACCACCACCCACTCCTCACCACACACTCCTCACCACCCACTCACCACCACCCACTCCTCACCACCCACGCCTCACCACACACTTCTCACCACCCACTCCTCACCACACACTCCTCACCACACACTCCTCACCACCCATGCCTCACCACACACTTCTCACCACCCACTCACCACCACACACTCCTCACCACACACTCCTCACCACCCACTCCTCACCACACACTCCTCACCACCCACTCCTCACCACACACTCCTCACCACCCACTCCTCACCACACACTCCTCACCACCCACTCCTCACCACCCACGCCTCACCACCCACTCCTCACCACACACTCCTCACCACACACTCCTCACCACACACTCCTCACCACCCACTCCTCACCACACACTCCTCACCACACACGCCTCACCACACACTTCTCACCACCCACTACTCACCACACACTCCTCACCACACACTCCTCACCACACACTCCTCACCACCCACTCACCACCACCCACTCCTCACCACACACTCCTCACCACACACTCCTCATCACCCACTCCTCACCACCCACTCCTCACCACCCACGCCTCACCACACACTCCTCACCACACACTCCTCACCACCCACTCCTCACCACACACTCCTCACCACCCACGCCTCACCACACACTTCTCACCACCCACGCCTCACCACACACTCCTCACCACCCACTCCTCACCACCCACTCACCACCACCCACTCCTCACCACACACTCCTCACCACCCACTCACCACCACCCACTCCTCACCACCCACTCCTCACCACCCACTCCTCACCACCCACGCCTCACCACACACTCCTCACCACACACTCCTCACCACCACCCACTCCTCACCACACACTTCTCACCACCCACGCCTCACCACCCACTCCTCACCACCCACTCACCACCACCCACTCCTCACCACCCACTCCTCACCACACACTCCTCACCACACACTCCTCACCACCCACTCCTCACCACCCACGCCTCACCACCTACTCCTCACCACCCACGCCTCACCACCCACTCACCACCACCCACTCCTCACCACCCACTCCTCACCACACACTCCTCACCACACACTCCTCACCACACACTCCTCACCACACACTCCTCACCACCCACTCCTCACCACCCACTCCTCACCACCCACTCCTCACCACCCACTCCTCACCACCCACTTCTCACCACCCACGCCTCACCACCCACTCCTCACCACCCACGCCTCACCACACACTCCTCACCACACACTCCTCACCACACACTCCTCACCACCCACTCCTCACCATACACTCCTCACCACCCACTCCTCACCACCCACTCCTCACCACACACTCACCACCACCCACTCCTCACCACCCACTCCTCACCACACACTCCTCACCACACACTCCTCACCACCCACTCCTCATCACCCACGCCTCACCACCCACTCCTCACCACCCACGCCTCACCACCCACTCCTCACCACACACTCCTCACCACCCACTCACCACCACCCACTCCTCACCACCCACTCCTCACCACCCACTCCTCACCACCCACTCCTCACCACACACTCCTCACCACACACTCCTCACCACACACTCCTCACCACCCACTCCTCACCACCCACTCCTCACCACCCACTCCTCACCACCCACTCACCACCACCCACTCCTCACCACACACTCCTCACCACCCACTCCTCACCACCCACTCCTCACCACCCACTCACCACCACCGACTCCTCACCACCCACTCCTCACCACCCACTCCTCACCACCCACTCACCACCACCCACTCCTCACCACCCACTCCTCACCACCCACGCCTCACCACCCACTCACCACCACCGACTCCTCACCACCCACTCCTCACCACCCACGCCTCACCACCCACTCACCACCACCCACTCCTCACCACCCACTCCTCACCACACACTCCTCACCACCCACTCCTCACCACACACTCCTCACCACACACTCCTCACCACACACTCCTCACCACACACTCCTCACCACACACTCCTCACCACCCACTCCTCACCACACACTCCTCACCACACACTCCTCACCACACACTCCTCACCACACACTCCTCACCACCCACTCCTCACCACACACTCCTCACCACACACTCCTCACCACACACTCCTCACCACACACTCCTCACCACCCACTCCTCACCACCCACTCCTCACCACCCACTCCTCACCACCCACTCCTCACCACCCACTCACCACCACCCACTCCTCACCACCCACTCCTCACCACCCACTCCTCACCACCCACTCCTCACCACACACTCCTCACCACACACTCCTCACCACACACTCCTCACCACCCACTCCTCACCACACACTCCTCACCACCCACTCCTCACCACACACTCCTCACCACACACTCCTCACCACCCACTCCTCACCACACACTCCTCACCACACACTCCTCACCACACACTCCTCACCACACACTCCTCACCACCCACTCCTCACCACCCACTCCTCACCACCCACTCCTCACCACCCACTCCTCACCACCCACTCACCACCACCCACTCCTCACCACCCACTCCTCACCACCCACTCCTCACCACCCACTCCTCACCACCCACTCCTCACCACACACTCCTCACCACCCACTCCTCACCACCCACTCACCACCACCCACTCCTCACCACCCACTCCTCACCACCCACTCCTCACCACCCACTCCTCACCACCCACTCCTCACCACCCACTCCTCACCACCGACTCCTCACCACCGTCTCACTGACGACTCAAAGACTCACCAATTCACGTGACCTCACCTCACCCTGGCCGTGACCCCTGCCCGTGACCCCTGCCCATGACCCCTGCCCGTGACCCCTGCCCGTGACCCCTGCAGTGCGTCCCCCGGGCCCTGGCTGAGTGTGTGGGTGGGCGCGTGAGCCGGGTGGCCGTGGACTCCACTCACCCTGGCACGCTGGCGCTGGTGAGCAGTGGTGGTGAGCTGTGCCGGTGAGTGGGTGGGTGGGTGGGGGGGTGAGTGGGTGGGTGAGTTGGGGGGTGGGTGAGTGAGTGGGGGGGTGGGTGGGTGAGCGAGTGGGTGGGTGAGTGAGTGAGTGGGTGGGTGAGTGGGTGGGTGAGTGGGGGGGTGGGTGGGGGGGTGAGTGAGTGGGTGGGTGAGTCGGGGGTGGGTGGGTGAGTGAGTGGGGGGGTGGGTGGGTGAGCGAGTGGGTGGGTGAGTGAGTGAGTGGGTGGGTGAGTGGGGGGGTGGGTGGGGGGGTGAGTGAGTGGGTGGGTGAGTGAGTGGGTGGGTGAGTCGGGGGGTGGGTGAGTGAGTGGGTGGGGGGGTGAGTGGGTTGGTGAGTGAGTGGGTGGGTGAGTGAGTAGGTGGGTGAGTGATTGGGTGAGTGAGTGGGTGGGGGGGTGAGTGGGTGGGTGAGTAAGTGGGTGGGTGAGTGAGTAGGTGGGTGAGTGAGTGGGTGGGGGGGTGAGTGGGTGGGTGAGTGAGTGAGTGAGCGGGTGGGTGAGTGAGTGGGTGGGGGGGTTAGTGGGTGGGTGGGTTTGTGGTATGACGTGTGGTGATGTTGGTGATGTTAGTGATGGTGGTGGTGATGTTAGTGATGATGGTGGTGATGTTGGTGATGGTGGTGGTGAAGTTAGTGATGGTGGTGGTGATGTTAGTGATGGTGGTGGTGATGTTAGTGATGGAGGTGGTGATGGTGGTGATGTTGGTGATGGTGGTGATGTTGGTGATGTTAGTGATGTTAGTGATGATGTTGGTGATGGTGGTGGTGATGTCGGTGATGTTGCAGGATGGAGGTGGTGATGTTGGTGATGGTGGTGGTGATGTTGGTGATGGTGGTGGTGATGTTGGTGATTTTGCAGGATGGAGGTGTGGCTGGTGGTGATGTTAGTGATGGTGATGTTAGTGATGGTGGTGGTGAAGTTAGTGATGGTGGTGGTGATGTTAGTTGTGGGAGGTGGTGATGGTAGTGATGTTGGTGATGGTGGTGATGTTGGTAATGGTGGTGGTGATGTTGGTGATGTTAGTGATGTTAGTGATGATGTTGGTGATGGTGGTGGTGATGTTGGTGATGTTGCAGGATGGAGGTGGTGATGTTGGTGATGGTGGTGGTGATGTTGGTGGTGAAATTGGTGATGGTGGTGGTGATGTTTGTGATGGAGGTGGTGATGGTGGTGATGTTGGTGATGGTGCAGGATGGAGGTGGTGATGGTGGTGATGGTAGTGGTGATGGTGGTGGTGATGTTGGTGATGGTGCAGGATGGAGGTGGTGATGGTGGTGATGGTAGTGGTGGTGTTGGTGATGTTGCAGGATGGAGGTGGTGATGGTGGTGATGGTGGAGGTAATGTTGGTGATGGTGCAGGATGGAGGTGGTGATGGTGGTGATGGTAGTGGTGATGGTGGTGGTGATGTTGGTGATGGTGCAGGATGGAGGTGGTGATGGTAGTGGTGATGGTGGTGGTGATGTTGGTGATGGTGGTGGTGATGTTGGTGATGTTGCAGGATGGAGGTGGTGATGGTGGTGATGGTGGTGGTGATGTTGGTGATGGTGCAGGATGGAGGTGGTGATGGTGGTGATGGTGGTGGTGATGTTGGTGATGGTGCAGGATGGAGGTGGTGATGGTGGTGATGGTGGTGGTGATGTTGGTGATGGTGCAGGATGGAGGTGGTGATGGTGGTGATGGTAGTGGTGATGGTGGTGGTGATGTTGGTGATGGTGCAGGATGGAGGTGGTGATGGTAGTGGTGATGGTGGTGGTGATGTTGGTGATGGTGGTGGTGATGTTGGTGATGGTGCAGGATGGAGGTGGTGATGGTGGTGATGGTGGTGGTGATGTTGGTGATGGTAGTGGTGATGATGGTGGTGATGTTGGTGATGGTGGTGATGTTGGTGATGGTGGTGGTAATGTTGGTGATGGTGGTGGTGATGTTGGTGATGGTGCAGGATGGAGGTGTGGCTGGGTGAGCTGGGGGAGTTTTCGCTGCGTGTGGAGCACGGAAACCGCTCCAGCAACGCCACCTGCAGCCCCATCACCACCACACGGGAACCCGTAAACTCCTCACTACGTAAGGCCGCATCACCACCATCACCACCATCACCACAACCACCATCACCACCATCACCACCATCACCACCATCACCATCATCACCATCACCACCATCACCACCATCACCATCACCACCATCACCACCATCACCACCATCACCACCATCACCATCATCACCACCATCACCACCATCACCACCATCATCACCATCACCACCATCACCACCATCACCATCACCACCATCACCACCATCACCACCATCACCACCATCACCATCATCACCACCATCACCACCACCACCACCATCACCACCATCACCACCACCACCATCACCACCATCACCACCATCACCACCATCACCACCATCACCATCATCACCATCACCACCACCATCACCACCACCACCACCATCACCACCATCACCACCATCACCACCACCACCACCATCACCACCACCATCACCACCATCATCACCACCACCACCATCACCACCATCACCACCATCACCATCACCACCACATGGGCACCTGTCAACTCCTCACTACGTAAGGCTCCGTGATGTTGTGTGATGTTGTGTGATGTTGTGTGATGTTGTGTGATGGTGTGTGATGTTGTGTGATGTTGTGTGATGTTGTGTGATGTTGTGTGATGTTGTGTGATGGTGTGTGATGGTGTGTGATGTTGTGTGATGTTGTGTGATGTTGTGTGATGTTGTGTGATGTTGTGTGATGTTGTGTGATGGTGTGTGATGTGCAGCTGTCCTCATCGCTGCAGGTGTTCTGCTGCTGCTGTCGATTCTCTTCCCACTTAGTGGGTGGGCACTCAGGTGGGTGGTGGGGGGGTGGTTGGTGAGCAGTTGGGTGTGTGTGTGTCTGTGTGTGTGTGTCTCTGTTTGTCTCTGTGTGTGTCTGTGTGTGTCTCTGTGTGTGTCTCTGTGTGTGTCTCTGTGTGTGTGGTGTGTGTGTCTGTCTGTGTGTTTGTCTGTGTGTGTGTCTGTGTGTGTGTGGTCTGCCTCAATGGCCCACAATTAACTCCATCAAAAAAGTAACCTGCAGCGCCACACCTATTACCATCATTAGGGGAAAGAACGGTGATCCAATCTCCGACCTCCAGGAACAGGTTTGCAGATTTGCTGAGCATTTCTGTGAGGTCCTGGGGGAGGGAAAATCCCTCTGCCTGGAAAACATCGTGGGACAAAGTGGGGATGACCCTGCTGAGGCTGCGGTGCCTCAAATATTCGAGGAGGAAGTCACCCCCTGTGAGTGGCTGGCTGAGGTGCCATCTGTTGAGGAAGTACTGAAGGCGATCCAGAGTCTGAGACCAGGAAAGGCACCGGGCAGAGATGATCTCCCAAACGAAATGCTGAGGGAGGGTGACGTTTGTGCGCAGACTGCCCTACATGACATCATAACAACAGTCTGGACCACTGGATGGGTTCCGCAGGATTGGAAGGATGCCCTGGTGGTCCCTCTCTTTAAGAAGGGGGACCGCACAGACTGTTACAACTACAGGGGCATCTCACTCCTCAGTGTGCCGGGAAAGGTTCTGGCAAGGATTATTCAACATCGCCTTGCTAGGCACGCTGAGGAGAGGCTTGCGGAGCCCCAATGCGGTTTCAGGAAAGGGCGGTCCTGCAGAGATGCCATATTTTCTGTCCGTCTGCTACAGCAGAGGTGTAGGGAATTCCAACAAGACCTATATCTCTGCTTTATTGACCTGGTCAAGGCCTATGATACCATCAGTAGGCCTTGGCTCTGGGTTGTTCTTTGTGCTTTCGGAGTCCCTGACCCTCTGTTCACGCTCATTAAGGACCTTCATGAAGGTGATCGGGCCCGGATAAAACTATGTTTCCGGGAGTCGGAGCTATTCCCTGTACACCTTGGGGTGCGACAGGGATGTCCTCTGGCTCCCACATTATTTAACATCTACTTCGACCACGTAGTTCGTGAAGCCTTCAGTAGCTGTACCGGAGGAATTTCCATTTTGTACAGATACAATGGGATGCTGATACAGTGAGGGAAAAAAGTAGTTGATCCCCTGCTGATTTTGTACGTTTGCCCACTGACGAAGAAATGATCAGTCTATAATTTTAATGGTAGGTTTATTTGAACAGTGAGAGAGAGAATAACAACAAAAAAATCCAGAAATCTTTCTGATTGAGAGGAGGTCAAATACTTATTTCCCTCATTAAAATGCAAATCAACTTATAACATTTTTGACATGCGTTTTTCTGGATTTTTTTGTTGTTACTCTGTCTCTCACTGTTCAAATAAACCTACCATTCAAATTATAGACTGATCATTTCTTTGTCAGTGGGCAAACGTACAAAATCAGCAAGGGATCAAATACTTTTTTCCCTCACTGTTGATGCCCGGGTGTGATCAAGGGATGGCTCCCTATTGGTCAACCACGTTATGTATGCCGGTGATCTGGTAATTGCGGCTCACTCAAAGGAGAAATTGGAGGCGCTGCTGCTGAACCTGGAGCTTGCCACTAAGAGGTGGGGCCTTAGCATCAGCCCCACCAAAACTAAGCACCTGCCTGGGTATTTTGTACCATCGGACACTCCACCCCCACAACTCCCTATCGGTGATGGGGCAGTTGTGGAGAGAATGGAGAGTTTCCAATACCTGGGCACTGTGCTCATGACCGGCTCCGGTTTAACAGCAGAGGTCTCACTCCGAATCAGTCGAGCGGCAATATCTTTTCATCGGTTGCGTAATGCTGTGTGGAAGCTACCTGGTCCGTCGCTCTGCACTAAGCTTCAGGTCTTCTCGGCCATCGTCATTCCCTCCCTTGTCTACGCTTGCGAAATGTGGACCCCCCTAATGGAACATCTTCGCCGGTTAGAAACATTTAGGCTAGCCTGCCTACGATCCATCCTGGGTTTAACACTGTGTGTGTGTGTGTTAAACCACCATCACCACCATCATCATCACCACCATCACCATCATCACCACCACCTTCATCATCATCACCACCACCACCACCATCACCACCACCATCACCATCATCACCACCATCATCATCACCACCACCATCATCACCATCATCACCACCTTCATCATCATCACCACCACCATCACCACCACCATCACCACCATCACCATCATCACCACCTTCATCATCACCACCACCCACCACCATCACCACCACCATCACCACCACCATCACCATCATCTGTGTGTCTGTGTGTGTGTCTGTGTGTGTGTCTGTGTGTGTGTCTGTGTGTGTGTCTGTGTGTGTGTGTCTGTGTGTGTGTCTGTGTGTGTCAGGCTGCGCTGTGTGCAGAGCGTGATAGGCCGTGTTCTGCATCGTCCGGATAACCACACGCTGCTGAATAACGTGAGACACACACAACAACAACCGCCATTCGCCACTATGTGGCGGTGACATCATCACGACGCTTGTGCCAGGCCATGCGCACCTTGAGGCCACGTTAAGTGTCGAACGCCCGCTGACAGAAGGTCACGGGGCAGACCCAGGTGTCACCGGTCGACTGACTGAGATGACTGGCTGATGCACCACCTGTGCCCCCTTCTGTGCACACACACATACACGCATACACGCACACATACACGCACACACACACGCACACACACACGCACACACACACACATACACACACAGACACACACACGCACACATACACACACACACACGTGCACACACACACACACATGCATACATACACGTACACACACATACACACACAGACACACATACGCTCATACACTGACACGTACACACACGAACACACAGACAAAGATCCCCCATGTAGCCTTAACAGGCTGTAGGGGCAAGTGCTGTTAGCGAGCAGCAGCGCCTATGAAGGCTGCCGGCACGGCACACGAGGGGGTGGGTGGCCAGCACCATGCCCGGCCGCCTTTGTCTCTCCCCCAGTGCTAGCGATATTCACTACACCACAACCACTACACCACCACTACACCACCACTGCACCACCACTGCACCACCATCACCACTACACCACCATCACCACTACACCATCATCACTATCACCACTACACCACCACCACTACACCACCACCATCAGAATCAGAAAGGGTTGTATTCACCATGATAGTTCGCACAGACAAGGAATTTACTTTGTCAGGAAGGTGCATACATTCAACATATAGGAATCTTAAATCTTAAATCTTAAATAAGTGGTATACAAGTCTAACTACACAAGGTACAAAGTCTACCTAACACTAAGGGGCTAAAGTATGTTAAATTTTGAATAAATATTGAATATAAAGTAGCTATAAGATACAATCTAAAAATACAAAAAATACAAATAGGGTAACATAGTGTAAATATGGCAAGGTGTCATTTTGTAGATAAAATGTTAAAGTCAGTGTAAGCCCTTGGTCTTGTTGAAGAGGCCAGCAGCGGATGGGAAGAAACTGTTTTTGTGGCGTGAGGTTTTGGTCCTGATGGACTGCAGCCTTCTGCCGGAGGGGAGCAATCACCTTCTCAGCAGTGTGGATGATACGCTGCAGTCTGCTCTTGTCCTTGGCAGTGGCAGCAGCGTACCAGACGGTTATTGAGGAGGTGAGGATGGATTCAATGATTGCTGTATAGAAGTGCACCATCATTGTCTTTGTCAGTTTGAATTTCTTCAGCTGCCATAGGAAGTACATCCTCTTTTTTGGTTCTTTCGGTAAAGTCACGTAGAATGAGAATAAAACAATAAATTGATAAAATAAAATAACACAATAAAATTCTCACGACGTTTCGGCCACAACACAAGCGGCCTTCATCAGGTGAAGGGACGAGACTGTCTCGAGACTGTCTGAGAATTTTATTATGTTATTTTATTTTATTAATTTATTATTTTATTCTCATTCTACGTGACTTTACCGAAAGAACCAAAGAAGATGATTCCTTGCAGTCACGAAAGCTTTCAATCGAAAAGTACATCCTCTGTTGAGCTCTCTTGGTGAGGGAGCTGATGTTCAGTTCCCACTTGAGGTCCCCGGAGAGAATAGTGCCCAGGAATCGGAAGGACTCTACAGTTTTGATTGGGGAGTCGCACAGGGTGATGGGGGTGAGTGGGGCTGTATTCTTCCTGATGTCCACAACCATCTCATTTGTCTTTAGAGCATTTAGCTCTAAGTTGTTCTGGCTACACCAGGTCACCAGGTTGTCAGCTTCCCACCTATAGTCAGACTCATCCCCACCAGAGATCAGCCCAATGAGGGTGGTGTCGTCCGCAAACTTCAAGAGTTTGAAGGACAGATGATTGGAGGTGCAGCTGTTGGTGTACAGGGAGAAGAGCAGTGGGGAAAGGACGCAGCCCTGAGGAGTTCCGGTGCTGATGGACCTGGAGTCAGAGACTTGTGTTCCCAGCTTAACGCACTGCTTCCTGTCAGACAGGAAGTCTGTGATCCACCTACAGGTGGAGTCGGGCACGTTCAGCTGGAAGAGCTTGTCCTGAAGCAGGGCAGGGATGATGGTGTTGAAGGCAGAGCTGAAGTCCACAAATAGGATCCTGGCATAGGATTCTGGGGAGTCCAGATGCTGTAGGGTGAGGTGGAGGGCCATGTTAACTGCGTCGTCCACAGACCTGTTGGCTCTGTAGGCAAACTGAAGGGGGTCCAGGAGAGGGTCTGTGATGGCTTTGAGGTGTGCCAGGACCAGGCGCTCAAAAGACTTCATTACCACAGAGATAAGGGCGACCGGTCTATAATCATTTATTCCTGTTGGCCTTCGCTTTTTGGGCACAGGGATGATGGTGGAGGACTTGAGACAGGCTGGTACATGGCATGTCTCCAGGGAGGTGTTAAAGATGTTGGTGAACACCGGAGACAGCTGGTCAGCGCAGTGCCTGAGGGTGGCTGGAGAGACAGAGTCCAGCCCAGCTGCTTTGCGTGGGTTCTGCCTCTTGAAAAGTCTATTAACTTCTCCCTCCTGAAAGGAGAGAGTCATCTCTGTAGTAGGGGTGCGGGATGGGGCCTCTTGGGTGGGAAGGGGTAGTTCAGGACAGTCCAATTGTCTTTCAAATCTGCAGTAGAACTCGTTCAGGTCGTTGGACAGGCGGGAGTCGTTAGTGGTGTGGGGGGCTCTGGGCTTGTAGTTGGTGATCTGCCTGAGCCCTCTCCAGACAGAAGCAGCGTCGTTAGTAGAGAACTGGTGTTTTAGTGTCTCTGAGTACAGTCGTTTAGCCTCTCTCACCGCCTTGCTAAACCTGTTCTTCGACTCCTTGAATCTGTCTCTATCTCCACTCCTAAACGCTTCCTCCTCCAACCTCAACCTACTGAGCTTTGCTGAGAACCAGGGCTTGTTGTTGTTGAAGTTCACCCTGGTACGTGTTGGAATACAGCAGTCCTCACAGAAGCTGATGTACGACGTCACAGCCTCTGTGAGTTCATCCAGACTATTGGTAGCAGTCGTGAAGATATCCCAGTCAGTACAGTCTAAGCACGCCCGCAAATCCTCCACAGCCTCACTGGTCCACTGTTTAGATGTCCTCACAGCAGGTTTACAGAGCTTTAGTTTCTGCCTGTATGCAGGAATCAGGTGGACTATGGCATGGTCAGAGTGTCCCAGTGCTGCTCGGAGGACGGCGTGGTAGGCTCTACTGACTATAGTGTAGCAGTGATCCAGAGTGTTCCCTTCTCTGGTTGGGCATTTAATGAATTGTATGTATTTGGGGAGTTCGTGGCTGAGATTACCTTTGTTAAAGTCGCCAAGTACGATAACCAGCGAATCTGGATTTGCTCGCTCCACACTCAGAATCTGGTCGGCGAGCAAGCGTTGGGCCTCTTTAACCCGAGGACACGGCGGCAAGTAAACTCCGACCAAAATGAGCGACGCGAACTCGCGAGGCGAGCAGAAGGGTTTACAGTTTATAAAAAATGATGCAAGGAGCGGAGAACAATGTTGCAGAATCACTGTGACATCTACACACCAGCCACTGTTAATGTAAAAACAAATACCACCGCCTTTCGTCGGCGATGGTATCGTAGTGAGTGTGTAGATTCATGCATACCACTACACCACCACTACACCACCACCACGACACCACCATCACCACTACACCACCATTACACCACCACCACCACTACACGACCACCACTACCACCACTACCACCGCTACACCAGGTACTCGTTTGAGGCTGAGTCGAACTAGGGGAGGCCCTGGGTACAAACACACACACACGTACACACACACGCACATACACACACACGTACACACATAGACACACATACACGTACACACACACACGCACATACACACACGTACAGTGTAGACACACATACACACACGTACAGTGTACACACACATACACGTACAGTGTACACACACACATACACGTACAGTGTACACACACATACACACACGTACAGTGTACACACACACGTACAGTGTACACAGACACATACACACATACACACACGTATACACGCATACACACACACGCGTACACACACACACACGCGTACACACACACGCGTACACACACACACACGCGTACACACACACGTACATACATACACACATACAGTGTACACATACACACACGTACACACACACACACATACACACATACAGTGTACACACACATACACACACACGTACACACACGTGAAAGAGCGATAATAATCATTGACAATAATCGATGAAAATAATCGATGATGGTAATCGATGATAATAATCGATGATAATCGATGATGATCAATGATGATAATAATCGATGATAATAATCAATGATGATCAATGATGATGCCACTGCAGGAGGCGACGGTGCCCCCACAGCCTCCGATCCTCCTGCCAAACTCCACCGCCACCGCCACGCAAGTGAAGAGACTGCGGTCACTCGACACGTTCAGAGGGTACCACCACCACCACTATTACACAGACTCATAGACATACATAGAGACCCGTAGAGACCCATAGACATAGCGACTCATAGACATACATAGAGACTCATAGACATACATAGAGACCCGTAGAGACCCATAGACATACATAGAGACCCATAGAGACTCATAGACATACATAGAGACCCGTAGAGACCCATAGACATAGCGACTCATAGACATACATAGAGACTCATAGACATACATAGAGACCCGTAGAGACCCATAGACATAGCGACTCATAGACATACATAGAGACTCATAGACATACATAGAGACCCGTAGAGACCCATAGACATACATAGAGACCCATAGACACTCATAGACATACATAGAGACCCGTAGAGACTTATAGACATACATAGAGACCCGTAGAGACTCATAGACATACATAGAGACCCGTAGAGACCCATAGACATAGCGACTCATAGACATACATAGAGACTCATAGACATACATAGAGACCCGTAGAGACCCATAGACATAGCGACTCATAGACATACATAGAGACTCATAGACATACATAGAGAACCGTAGAGACCCATAGACATACATAGAGACCCATAGAGACTCATAGACATACATAGAGACCCGTAGAGACTCATAGACATACATAGAGACCCGTAGAGACTCATAGACATACATAGAGACCCGTAAAGACTCATAGACATACATAGAGACTCATAGACATACATAGAGACTCATAGACATACATAGAGACCCGTAGAGACCCATAGACATACATAGAGACCCGTAGAGACTCATAGACATACATAGAGACCCGTAGAGATACATAGACATACATAGAGACCCGTAGGCATACTTAGAGATACATAGAGACTCATAGACATACATAGAGACTCATAGAGACTCGTGTAGTGTATAGTGTATTGTAATGTAGAGTGTAATGTATAGTGTAGTGTATAGTAGTGTAATGTAGAGTGTAGTGTATAGTGTAGCATATAGTAGTGTAGTGTATAGTGTAGTGTGTAGTGTAGTGTATAGTAGTGTAGTGTATAGTAGTGGTGTATAGTAGTGTAGTGTATAGTAGTGTAGTGTATAGTGTAGTAGTGTAGTGTGTAGTGTAATGTAGTGTGTAGTGTAATGTAAAGTGTAGTGTATAGTGTAGTAGTGTAGTGTATAGTGTAGTGTATAGTGTATGGTAGTGTAATGTAGTGTGTAGTGTAATGTAGTTTGTAGTGTAGTGTATAGTCTAGTGTAGTAATGTAGGGTAGTGTATACTGTAGTGTATAGTGCAGTGTAGTGTATAGTGTGGTGTATAGTGTAGTGTATAGTAGTGTATAGTGTAGTGTAGTGCAATGTAGTGTATAGTGTAGTGTGTAGTGTATAGTGTAGTGTATAGTAGTGTATAGTGTAGTGTTTAGTAGTGTATAGTGTAGTATAATGTAGTGTATAGTGTAGTGTATAGTGTAGTGTATAGTGTAGTCTATAGTGTAGTGTATAGTGTAGTGTATAGTGTAGTGTATAGTAGTGTAGTGTATAGTAGTGTAGTGTATAGTGTAGTGTATAGTGTAGTGTATAGTAGTGTAGTGTATAGTGTAGTGTATAGTAGTGTAGTGTATAGTAGTGTAGTGTATAGTGTAGTGTATAGTGTAGTGTATAGTGTAGTGTATAGTGCACGAGTACAGAACACCGGTCGTGTGCTGGAGAGCGAAGCTGCGACGTTTACCACTGGAGTACCGTGACGTTCCGCCCGTGATCACCGTGACCGACTTCATCAGGCGACGGCCGCGAATTTTTTCCTGCGGTTTTGTTGATCAGACGAGAGAGAGAATGTTGATGGGTGGACGCGCGTGGATTTGCTCCGGGCTGCCCTTTGCCGTTTGGGGGGTCAAAGGCTACGTGGGGAATCTTTGTCTTTGTGCACCGCAGGATCTCCATCGTCCTCATGGTGTTCGTCAACTACGGCGGCGGAAAGTACTGGTACTTTAAACACTCGGCGTGGAACGGTGAGTCACTATACACTACACTACTATACACTACACTATACACTACATTACACTACACTACTATACACTACTGTACACTACACTACTATACACTACACTATACACTACACTACTATACACTACACTACTATACACTACACTACTATACAATACACTACTATACACTACACTATACACTACTATACTATACACTACTGTACACTACACTATACACTACTATACACTACTATAGACAACCCATCTGTGAGCGACCCACCAACCCCCACCGTGTCTGTGTCCATGCAGGGCTGACTGTGGCAGACCTGGTGTTCCCCTGGTGAGTGTAGTATATAGTGTAGTGTATAGTGTAGTGTATAGTAGTGTAGTGTATAGTAGTGTAGTGTATGGTGTCGTGTATAGTGTAGTGTATAGTAGTGTATAGTGTAGTGTATTGTAATGTAGTGTATAGTGTAGTGTATAGTGTAGTGTATAGTGGTGTTGTGTATAGTAGTGTAGTGTATAGTAGTGTAGTGTATAGTGTAGTGTATAGTGTAGTGTATAGTGTAGTGTATAGTGTAGTGTATAGTAGTGTAGTGTATAGTGTAGTATATAGTAGTGTAGTGTATAGTGTCGTATATAGTGTAGTATATAGTAGTGTACTCTTTGGTTCTGTTGGGTAAAGTCACGTAGGTAAAAAATAAAACAACAAAAATCACGACGTTTTGGCCACAACACAAGTGGCCTTCATCAGGTGAAGGGACCAGACTGTCTCGAAGACTGCGCTGGAGTGAACACAGCCAAGCTCAGACCGCGACCTTTAAGCTGTGTGAGAGGAAACAGAGCACTTTGACAAAGGAATTAACTTAAAATTAGCATTTAATTGGCGGACTTAGCATGATGAACGGTGTAGAGGGGGTGAACATGTGCAGGTCGGCGAGGGGGGGAGGGGGGAGTTTACATATTGATGGTGTGAAAGGGAATTTAAGCAGCTGCGAAAGTTTGGGATACCACATCTTGAAAAAATATACTGTACCATTGAAAATTAAATTTTGGTTTAAAGCTTTCGTGACTGCAGTAATTCATATTCTTAGCTCTTTCGGTAAAGTCACGTTGAAGGGAAACAATAAAATAATACAATATATAAAACAATAAAAATTCTCATGACGTTTCGACCATAACACAAACGGTCATCATCAGGTGTGAAAAAACCAACGGCAAGAAACATTTGAAAGAAGTGGCGGTTTGCATCAATTTATTTATTTTTAAATGGTGTATTATTTTATATTCTTAGTTCTTTCGGTAAAGTCACGTTGAAGGGAAACAACAAAATAATAAAATATATATAAAACAATAAAAATTCTCACGACGTTTCGGCCATAACACAAACTGTCGTCTTCAGGTGTGTTGGTGTATTATTTATTTATAAAAAACGTCAGCACCACGCACAGCGATTTAGCAGTTTATTTAGAAGGACTAGTCCATCTATGTTCTGAAAAGAGGAGGGGGGAGACGAAAAATGTATGTATGCTGTCTGAAAGCCACCGTAAGCGTGAACAATCAATTAAGACCTGAAATGGTTTATCAAATCTTTCCAATGATTGCTAAGCCAGAATCCATCTTCTCGGTTGAAATTGTCTCTGTGCTTGTATATGTGGATAGCCTCATGAACGAATCTCTCATGGTAGCCAGATGGCTTACAAAGAACCTCTGTCTTGGAAAAGTCAATGTCATGTGAGCCTACTGAATTATACCAATGATCTGCCACATTCGAGGTGTTGGTCCTACCGTGTTTAAGGTCTGCTTTGTGTTCACGAATGCGGTCCAAGACATGGCGTTTGGTTTCTCCAATGTAACTACTGCCACAGAGGCAACTTAGTTTGTAGACACCAGGGTACTGTATGTCCGGAATCACATCTTTTACAGACGGAACCAGATCACGGATTTTATGTAATGTGTTGAAACGGACCTGGATATTGTGTTTATTCAAGATTTTGGAGATCTTTTTTGTGAGATCAAGGGTATTTCCCTGTCCCCAGACGATCTGCGTGTCAGTTTTGATGTAGTTTCCTTATTCACCAAGGTTCCTGTACCTGACACCATCGCAATCATTGAAGACTTGGTTCATCAAGGACTAAACACTGAGGTACCCCCCCTGGTGAGACACTGTTTAACCAATGCATACTTCACTTGGAATGGAACTTTCTACAAACAAACTGAGGGCACCCCAATTGGCTCCCCCCTATCTCTGGTTATAGCCAACATTTTCATGGAGAAATTTGAGACTGACGCCATCCAGACTGCCACTCTGCGCCCAACCTTATGGAAGAGGTACGTGGATGACACTTTTGTCATCTGGCCACATGGCCGGCCTGCTCTAGACACATTTTTCGACCACATCAATTCCATACACCCAGCCATCAGATTTACCATGGAAGTCGAAAAAGATGACAAGCTACCTTTTTTGGATGTCCTAATAAAAAAGAGACCTGATGGTTCAATGAGCCACTCTGTCTACAGGAAAGCTACCCATACGGATGCTTATCTGAAACCGGATTCCCACCACCATCCATCACAGAAGAATTCTCTCATCTTGACTCTGTACCATAGAGCCCAATGCATATCTGACCAGGAACACATAGGCAGTGAAGTCAAGCACGTACACCAAGCTCTTAAGGCTAATGGTTACTCCGACTATACAATCCGCAAAGCTATCACTCAAACCATGAAGAAGGACCCTCTTGAGGAGCCTTACAAAACCATAACTTTACCCTACATTGCGGGGATCACAAAAAAGATCTCCAAAATCTTGAATAAACACAAGATCCAGGTCCATTTCAACACATTACATAAAATACGTGATCTGGTTCCTTCTGTAAAAGATGTTATTCCGGACATACAGTACCCTGGTGTCTACAAACTAAGTTGCCTCTGTGGTAGTAGTTACATTGGAGAAACCAAACGCCATGTCTCGGACCGCATTCGTGAACACAAAGCAGACCTTAAACACGGTACGACCAACACCTCGGCCGTGGCAGATCATTGGTATAATTCAGTGGGCTCACATGACATTGACTTTTCCAAGACAGAGGTTCTTTGTAAGCCATCTGGCTACCATGAGAGATTCGTTCATGAGGCTATCCACATATACAAGCACAGAGACAATTTCAACCGAGAAGATGGATTCTGGCTTAGCAATCATTGGAAGGATTTGTTCAACCATTTCAGGTCTTAATTGATTGTTCACGCTTACGGTGGCTTTCAGACAGCATACATACATTTTTCGTCTCCCCCCTCCTCTTTTCAGAACGTAGATGGACTAGTCCTTCTAAATAAACTGTTAAATCGCTGCGCGTGGCGCCGACGTCTTTTAATATGTAAATAAATAAATACACCTTTAAAAATAAATAAATTGATGCAAACCGACACTTCTTTCAAATGTTTCTTGCTGTTGGTTTTTTCACACCTGATGACGACCGTTTGTGTTATGGTCGAAACGTCGTGAGAATTTTTATTGTTTTATATATATTTTATTATTTTATTGTTTCCCTTCAACGTGACTTTACCGAAAGAGCTAAGAACATTGAAAATTAGTTTAATGTTTGGTTTGATTCAGAACATCTTTCCAATGGTTGCTTAATTTGAAACCATCCTCTCGGTTGAAATTGTGTCTGTGTTTGTAAATCTGAATTGCCTCGTGAACAAATCTCTGATAAAAACCCGTGGGTTTGCAAAGAACCTTGGTATCGGAGAAAATTCTATCGTGATCACCCACAGTGTTGTAACAGTGATCAGCTATGGCAGAAGAATTCGTTCTGCTGTGTTTCAAATCTCATTTGTGCTCGCGAATTCGGTCAGAGACATGTCGTTTCGTCTCCCCGATATAGCAGCCACCAAAGGTACAACTCAATTTGTAAACCCCGGGGTACTGTAAGTCAGGAACGACACCCTTCACGGAAGGGATCAGGTGACGGATTTTGTGTACTATATTGAACCGGACCTGGATCTTGTGTTTGTTTATAATTTTGGAGATCTTTTTTAGTAACGCCTGCTATATATGGTAGTGTGATATAGTGCAGTGTATAGTGTAGTGTATAGTGTAGTGCGGTGTGCGTGCTCCAGGTTTGTGTTTGCGTTGGGCTCTGCCGTGGGACTCTCCATGGCGGGGCCGCTGCGCCGGGGCTGCCCGTCCCGACTCCGCCTCTCCCTCCGTGCGCTGTGGCGAAGTCTTCTCCTCTTCCTCATCGGAATCTTCATCGTCACGCCCAACTACTGCCACGGCCCTCGTGAGACGCGTACACTACACTACTATACACTACACTACTATACACTACACTACTATACACTACACTACTATACACTACACTACTATACACTACACTATACACTACACTACTATACACTACACTACTATACACTACACTATACACTACACTACTATACACTACACTACTATACACTACACTACTATACACTACACTACTATACACTACACTATACACTACACTATACACTACACTACTATACACTACACTATACACTACACTACTATACACTACACTATACACTACACTATACACTACACTACTATACACTACACTATTATACACTACACTACTGTACACTACACTACTATACACTACACTATACACTACACTATACACTACACTACTATACACTTACACTATACATTACACTACTATACACTACACTACTATACATGACACTATACACTACACTACTATACACTACACTACTATACACTACACTATATAATCCCATAGAAAATCTGTGGAGGGAGCTGAAGGTTCGAGTTGCTAAACGTCAGCCTCGAAACCTTAATGACTTGGAGACAATGTGCAAAGAGGAGTGGGACAAAATCCCTCCTGAGATGTGTGCAAACCTGGTGGCCAACTACAAGAAACGTCTGACCTCTGTGATTGCCAACAAGCATTTTGCCACCAAGTACTAAGTCATGTTTTGCAGAGTGGTCAAATACTTATTTCCCTCATTAAAATGCAAATCAATTTATAACATTTTTGACATGCGTTTTTTCTGGATTTTGTTGTTATTCTCTCTCTCACTGTTCAAATAAACCTACCATTAAAATTATAGACTGATCATTTCTTTGTCAGTGGGCAAACGTTCAAAATCAGCAGGGGATCAAGTACTTTTTTCCCTCACTGTATACTACAACTACCACACTACTCTCCTCTGCTGTCTCCCCACACCACACACACCACACACACCACACACCACACACACCACACATCACACACACCACACACACCACACATCACACACACCACACACACCACACACACCACACATCACACACACCACACACACCACACACCACACACACCACACATCACACACACCACACACACCACACACCACACACACCACACATCACACACACCACACACACCACACATCACACACACCACACACACCACACATCACACACACCACACATCACACACACCTACACACACTCCACACACACACCTACACACACACCTACACACCCACACACCACACTACACACACACACCACCCACACACCTACACACACCACACACACTTTCACACACACACCATACACACACCCACCACACACACACACCACACTCAGCACACACACCACACAAACCACACACACCACACACACTGACAATTACACACACCACACACACCACACACACACACCATACACCACACCACACACACTGACACTTACACACACCACACACACCACACACACCACACATCACACACACCACACATCACACACCACACATCACACACACCACACACACCTACACACACACACCTACACACACACACCTACACATCCACACACCACACTACACACACACCATACACACACCTACACACACCACACACCTACACACACACACCATATATACACACACACACCACGCACACACCACACTCACCATACACACTACACTCACCACACACACACCACACACACCTACACACACACCACACACACACCACACTCACCACACACACACCACACACACACACTCACCATACACACACACACCAGACACACACCACACTCACCACACACACCACACACACTGACACTTACACACACCACACACACCACACACACCATACACACACCTACACAAACCTACACACACACTCACCACACTCACTACACTCACCACACACACCACACTCACCACACTCACCACACACACCTACACGCACCACCCTCACCACACTCACCACACACACCACACTCACCACACTCACCACACCACACACACCACACTCACCACACTCACCACACTCACCACACACACTGACACTTACACACACCACACACACCACACACACCATACACACACCTACACAAACCTACACACACACTCACCACACTCACCACACACACCACACTCACCACACTCACCACACCACACACACCACACTCACCACACTCACCACACACACCACACTCACCACACTCACCACACACGCAGTGGTGTGGAGCGACCTTCGAGTTCCCGGAGTTCTCCAGCGGCTGGCTGTGGCAAATGCTGCGGTGTCCTTGCTCGAGATTTACGCCTGGGGGCCTCATCACTCACCGCTGGTGAGGAATAACGCTCACCACTCATTCACCACTCACTACTCACCACTCATTCACCACTCACTACTCACCACTCACCACTCATTCACCACTCACTACTCACCACTCATTCACCACTCACTACTCACCACTCACCACTTATTCACCACTCACTACTCACCACTCACCACTCATTCAACACTCACTACTCACCACTCACCACTCATTCACCACTCACTACTCACCACTCACCACTCATTCACCACTCACTCACCACTCATTCACTACTCACTCACTCACCACTCACTCACTCACTCACCACTCACTCACCACTCATTCACTACTCACTCACCACTCATTCACCACTCACTCACCACTCACTCACCACTCATTCACCACTCACTCACCACTCACTCACCACTCATTCACTACTCACCCACCACTCAATCACCACTCACTCAGCACTCACTCACCACTCACCCACTACTCACTCACCACTCACTCACTACTCACTCACCACTCAATCACCACTCACACAGCACTCACTCACCACTCACTCACTACTCACTCACTCAGCACTCACTCACCACTGACTCACTACTCACTCGCCACTCACTCACTACTCACCACTCACCACTCAACCACTACTCACCCACTACTCACTCACCACTCACTCACCACTCACTCACTCAGCACTCACTCACCACTCACTCACCACTCAATCAGCACTCACTCACCACTCACTCACCACTCAACATTCACCACCTCTTTGCTGCCCCTGTGTGTGTGTCTGTGCGTGTGTCTGTGTGTGTGTAACTGCCTGTGTCTGTGTGTGTGTGTGTGTAACAGGCTGTGTGTGTCTCTGTGTGTGTGTCTGTGTGTGTGTAACTGTGTGTGTAACAGGCTGTGTAACTGTGTGTCGTGTCTGTGTGTGTAACAGGCTGTGTGTGTCTCTGTGTGTGTGTGTCTGTGTGTGTGTAACTGTGTGTGTGTGTGTGTAACAGGCTGTGTGTGTAACAGGCTGTGTAACTGTGTGTGTCTGTGTGTGTGTAACTGTGTGTGTGTGTGTGTAACAGGCTGTGTGTGTAACAGGCTGTGTAACTGTGTGTGTGTGTAACAGGCTGTGTGTGTCTGTGTGTGTGTGTAACAGGCTGTGTGTAACTGTGTGTGTGTGTAACAGGCTGTGTGTGTAACAGGCTGTGTAACTGTGTGTGTGTGTAACAGGCTGTGTGTGTCTGTGTGTGTGTGTGTAACAGGCTGTGTGTAACTGTGTGTGTGTGTGTAACAGGCTGTGTGTGTAACAGGCTGTGTAACTGTGTGTGTCGTGTCTGTGTGTATAACAGGCTGTGTAACTGTGTGTGTCTGTGTGTGTAACAGGTGAGGGTGATGCGCTGGCCGTCTCTGCGTGATTTGATGCCCTTCTGGCCCCAGTGGCTCCTCGTGGGGCTCCTCCAAGTGGCCTGGCTGAGCCTCACACTGCTGCTGCCTGTACCTGGCTGCCTGACGTACGTGGGTGGGTGTGTGTGTAGGTTAGTGAGTGGGTGGGTGAGTGAGTGGGTGAGTGAGTGGGTTAGTGAGTGGGTGTGTGGGTGAGTGAGGGTGAGTGTGTGGGTGAGTGAGTGTGTGGGTGAGTGAGTGTGTGATTGAGTGAGTGAGTGGGTGAGAGTGAGTGTGTGAGTGAGTGAGTGTGTGAGTGAGTCTGGCAAAACAACCCCCTACCTCCTCGCGGTGCCGGACGGGCAACTCTGTCGTGGACAGTGCTGTGGGGAGAGGGCAAATTCCGATTGGCCCTCTCCCCTCATGGCGTCTGTGACCACCACAGTGGCTAAACGGGGGCTCTGGATGGGTGCGAGGGGCTGGTAACCCCTACACATTCAACATTTTTACCACGAAACCACGACTTAAATATGTAACTAATAAGCTTGTGCCGGAGGCCCCGGGGGGACAGACGTCTATGACGTCTCCTGGCTAAACCCCAATTGGCGGAGCCAGGAGATTGAATCTCTACCCTCGGGGCTCCTCCAGAAACAACGAAAAGCCACTTCGTGTGGCCACGTGGAATGTTTGAACGCTCACTGCAGAGGAGAGGCTGCCACTCCTCTGTCGGGAGCTGGACCGGTACCGCCTGGATCTCTGTGGCATTCAGGAGGTCCGGTGGACCGGTTCTGGCTCCTGCCACCATGAGGGGTGGACAGTCCTCTACTCGGGGCAGGAGACTGCCAAACAACAGGGTATGGCTCTTCTTCTGAACAAAAGAATGAAGGGGGCGTGGGAGCGTGGCGGTGAGGTGTGGGAAGCTGTAAGCCCCAGGTTACTTTGGGCTCGCCTTCCCATCAACTGGAGGCAAGGAGGGGTGGTCGTGGTTACTTATGCCCCCACCGAAGACGAACATCCTTGGAGCGATGCACGCAAAGTCGATGAGTCAGACCTCCTTCCACAGGTGCTGGCTAAAGTGGCCCCTCGGGATCGAGTCATCTTGTTGGGTGACTTCAATGCCTGAGTTAGTTATGATGCTGGCACCTGGTCTGGAGTGATTGGAGGGCATGAGCCAGATCGGCTCAATAACAACGGCAGGAGGCTGTTAGAATTTTGTGCAGCACATGGGCTTATAATTACCAACACGCTGTTCTGGCATTGGCGCATTCACACAACATCATGGATGCATGCCGGGTCCAAGCAAGAACATCTGCTGGACTACATAGTGACGGACCAGCGGATGCGAGCCCATGTCCTTGACATGGGCTCGCCTCTGACCATCGACTAGGACCCCATTCCAACCTAAAGTGGCCTGGTCTCAGTTAGCTGAAGAAAGTTGCAAGCGAGAATTTCATCATCGCTTGCGGCTGGGGTTGGCATCGTCCCCCACTCCTCCTGATGTCGAGGGTAAATGGGCGAGGTTTAGGACTGTGACTCATGCAGCTGCATTGGCTGCTTTGAATACGCGGTCCAGACCTCCCCAGAGACCCTGGCTGACAGAGGAGGTGGTCAGGATAGTTGAGAAAAAGTGACAGGCCCACTCTCATCGGCTACAACATCCCACGTCAGAGAATGAGGAGGCTTACCGCAGCCTTTGCTCGGAGGTTCGGAGAGCCGTGAGGCGCTGCAAGGATGGGTGGTGGTCGTGGGTTGCTGAGGAGATGGAGTCTGCCTCAGTGGCCCGCGATCACAAATACCTATTTAACTCCATCAAAAAAGTAACCTGCAGCGCCACACCTATTACCATCATTAGGGGAAAAAATGGTGATCCAATCTCTGACCCCCAGGAACAGGTTTGCAGATTTGCTGAGCATTTCTGTGAGGTCCTGGGAGAGGGGAAATCCCTCAGCCAGGAAAACATCGTGGCACAAAGTGGGGGTGACCCTGCTGAGGCTGCGGTGCCTCAAATATTGGAAGAAGTCACCCCCTGTGAGTGGCTGGCTGAGGTGCCATCTGTTGAGGAAGTACTTAAGGCGATCCGGAGTCTGAGACTAGAAAAGGCACCGGGCAGAGATGATCTCCCAAGCGAAATGCTGAGGAAGGGTGGCGTTTGTGCACAGACTGCCCTATATGACATTGTAACAACAGTCTGGACCACTGGACGGGTTCCACAGAATTGGAAGGATGCCCTGGTGGTCCCCCTTTTTAAGAAGGGGGACCGCACAGACTGTAACAGCTACAGGGGCATCTCACTCCTCAGTGTGCTGGGAAAGGTCCTGGCAAGGATTATTCAACATCGCCTTGCTAGGCACGCTGAGGAGAGGCTTGTGGAGCCCCAATGCGGTTTCAGGAAAGGGCGGTCCTGCACAGATGCCATATTTTCTGTCCATCTGCTACAGCAGAGGTGTAGGGAATTCCAACAAGACCTACATCTCTGCTTTATTGACCTGGTCAAGGCCTATGATACCATCAGTAGACCTGTGCTTTGGTTTGTTCTTCGTGCTTTCGGAGTCCCTGACCCTCTGCTCACGATCATTAAAGACCTTCATGATGGTGAGCGGGCCCGGGTAAAACTACGTGGCCTGGAGTCAGAGCCATTCCTTGTACACCTGGGGGTGTGACAGGGATGTCCTCTGGCTCCCACATTATTGAACATCTATCTTGACCACGTAGTTCATGAAGCCTTCAATAGCTGTACCAGGGGAATTTCCATTTGGTACAGATATAATGGGAGGCTGATCGATGCCCGGGTGCGATCAAGGGATGGCTCTCTCTTGGTCAACCACGTTATGTCCTTCAAAGAAGCATCAGTTCCTCTAGAATGGAAACATTTCTATGTCCGTCCACTTCACAAAGGGGGCCCTAAAGATGATCCCAATAACTACCGACCTATCTCAATTTTGTCCCCATTGATGAACATTTTTGAAAAATTATTGAACTAACAAATTAGCAGTTTCCTGTCCACCAACAATCTACTACATCTAAAACAATCTGGGTTCCGAAAAAAATACAGCACCACATCTGCTGCATTAGACTCTCTGAATAAAATTTACAGTAGCCTTGATAATAAGCAGCACTGTGCCTGTCTTTTTCTTGACCTGTCCAAAGCTTTTGATACAGTAGACCACAACACCCTGCTTGGTAAACTAAGTTGCCTCGGTTTTTCCAAAAACACAGTAAAATGGTAAAAAAATTACCTCTTTTCTCGCACCCAAACTTTATTCACAGATGGTTGGAGGTCAAACAGTGTTAAGATAACAAAAGGGGTTCCACAGGGTTCCATCCTCGGCCCCCTTTTGTTCTCTTTTTATGTCAATGACTTGGGCACTGACCTGGATCATTCCAGGGTAAATCTTTTTGCAGATGACACGATGCTGATTACTGCTGGCCGCTCTCCGGATGACGTGATTGCTAAGCTACAGGGTGATTTCAACAAACTACAACATCAGCTAGTTGCTCTTAAACTAGTCCTGAATACCTCCAAAACCAAGGTGCTATGCTTCTCACCCAATTACATTCCTTAAATAATTATCAAATAGAGCAAGTCAAGATCTATAAGTGTCTTGGGGTCATCCTGGATTCAAAACTGAATTTTGAAGATCACATTGATTATATTGGTAAAAAGACTAAAATAAAAATTGGTTTTCTGTATTGACACAAGCACTGCTTCCCCCCAATGTTCCGTTTGGAATTGATAAAAGCTACCACACTGCCTCTACTTGATTGCTGTGACATCGTGTATAAATCAGCCCCAAGTAATGTACTGAAGAAGCTTGATTCCATCTATCACTCGGCCTTTAGATTTGCATTGAACTGCCCATATAGGAATCACCACTGTCATCTCTACATTGGGTCAAACTTAACATATCTTAATGTTCGACGGCTTGTGCACCAGATCTTATTTATTCACGATGTACTTCCAAAAAAATCCGCAGACTACCTGCTGGATCTCCTCTCTGTTTCAAAGAAACAAATTTGACCTCAGGTCTTCGCTCATTTACCAGCTTCACATTCCCTATTGCCGTACGAAAACCGGAGGAAGGGCCTTTGCTATTGATGCCCCCAGGGTCTGGAATGCTATTGCCAATAAACTGCAACTTGAATTGCTACCAATGAGATCTTCACTCAAAACTGCTCTAGAGAAGTTGGTCACCCCTAGCTGCCACTGCTATTCAGTGGCCTAAAATAAAATGTTTCGCTCTGGATGACGGCTGCAAAGTATTAACTGTATTTTTATTTAGTGTGCTGATCTTAAAGGTGCATTGAAAAATTTGATACTCTGACTGATGCTCCTGTTGTTGTGGAGCAACTCATGCAGCCAGCTATGGCTCTAAGGTTTGGTGGTACATGTTATTTATGTAGTTTATCGTAAAAAATTCGGTCACAGTCCCTATGATCACTGTTACATTGCATTTATGGTTTTATTTTGGTGATTTCGAAAAGTTTTTTGGTTTGGCCATGTTTTTGTTTATTGTAGTACGGAGTTAGACTGATGGCCTTAATCTTAGTTGTCTTGTGGCTGTTATTGTTGTTTGACTTGCATCCCACTGGGATTTTTGCACACAGCGTTGGTGTACGGTGCTTTTTTCAGAAATATTTTGCGGTTTTTTTTGCATGGATTTTCTATTTGCACGGTCACATAGTCACTTTAAGATGTTTTCTTGTTCGTTTTTTTGTTTGTTGCAGTTGCACCCGATTCAAGAGCCGAATGGCTCACAGGGCTATACCAAATAAATGGAACTATGAACTATGTATGCCGATGATTTGGTAATAGCTGCTCATTCAGAGGAGGAGTTGGAGACGCTGCTGCTGAGACTGGAGTCTGCCACTAAGAGGTGGGGCCTTACCATCAGCCCCACCAAAACTAAGCACCTGCCTGGGTATTTTGTGCCATCGGACATTCCACCCCCACAACTCCCAATCGGTGATGGAGCAGTTGTGGAGAGAGTGGAGAGTTTCCCATACCTGGGCAGCGTGCTCATGACCGGCTCCAGTTTAACAGCAGAGGTCTCAATCCGAATCAGTCGAGCGGCAATATCTCTTCATCGGTTACATAACGCTGTGTGGAAGCTACCTGGTCTGTCGCTCTGCACTAAGCTTCAGGTTTTCTCGGCCACGGTCATTCCCTCCCTTCTCTACGCTTGCGAAATGTGGACCCCCCTAATGGAACATCTTCGACGGTTAGAAACATTTAGGCTGGCCTGCCTACGATCCATCCTAGGTTTAACCAGGCTGGATTGTGTGAGGAGCTCACAAATCCTTGAAAGATCTGGGCAAGGTCACATCGGTGAGCTCCTCCGGCAGGCAAGGCTGCGTTGGCTGGGTCATGTAGCCCGCAAGCCCAGCCACCGCATGCCCAAACAGCTTTTGTTTGCCATTGGGTAGTTTGAGGCAGTCGCCCTCCAACAACAACGGAGGGCGGAGGAGCGACGCTCACAACAACGAGCGGAGCGCCGTTTTGCTAAAGCACAGCAAGCTGGCACAGTAGGGGGCACAGGTAGTACATAAGCCACTCATCTCAGTCATCTCAGTCGACCCGTGGCACCTGGGTCTGCCCCGTGACCTCCTGCCAGTGGGCGTTCGACACTTCACATGGCCTCAAGGTGCACATGGCTTGGCACAAGTGTCGTGGTGATGTCACCGCCACTTAGTGGCGAATGGTGGTTGTTGTTGCGTGTGTGAATGAGTGAGTGTGTGAGTGAGTGAGTGTGTGAGTGAGTGTGTGAGTGAGTGAGTGAATATGTGAGTGTGTTAGTGAGTGTGTGTGTGTGAGTGAGTGTGTGAGTGGGTGTATGAGTGTGAGTGGGTGAGTGTGTGAGTGAGTGGGTGTGTGAGTGTGTGATTGAGTGAATGTGTGAGTGTGTGAGTGAGTGAGTGTGTGAGTGAGTGAGTATGTGAGTAAGTGAGTGTGTGAGTGAGTGAGGGTGTGCCCTGCCCGCCCTCCCCAGCGGCTACCTTGGGCCTGGAGGGATCGGCAGTGGAGGGTCCCAGGCCAACTGCACGGGAGGAGCGGCTGGGTACATCGACCGCTGGCTACTCACGGAGAGACACTTGTACCAGACTCCTACCACACGGGTAACACACACACACAACAAAGATCAAAGATCCCCCATATAGCCTTAACAGACTGTAGGGGCAAGTGCTGTTAGCGAGCACCTATGAAAGCCGGAACGGTACACGAGGGGGTGGGTGGCCAGCACCACGCCCGACCGCCTTTGTCTCCCTAGTGGCAATGTTTACACACCGCACCAGGTACTCATTTGAGGCTGAGTCGACCTAGGGGAGGCCCGGGACCGGTTCAGATAATCGTCACTGGTGTTGGCCGTGAGCGGGAATCGAACCCGGGTCGCCAGGTTCATAGCGCAGCGCGCTAACCGCTACACTATCGCTCCCCACACACACACACCTACACACACACACCTACATACACACACACCTACACACACACACCTACACACACAACTACACACACACACCTACACACACACCTACACACATAGACACACACACACCTAATAACACACCAACACACACAAACCTACACACACAATTACACACACACAGATCTACACACATAGACACACACATAGACACACACACAGACCAACACACACACCTACACACACCTACGCACACCTACACACACACACCTACACACACACAAATCCTACACACATACACACCTGCACACACCTACACAACAACAACCACCATTCGCCACTAAGTGGCGGTGACGTCACCACGACGCTTGTGCCAGGACATGTGCACCTTGAGGCCACGTGGAGTGTTGAACACCCGCTGGCAGGAGGTCACGGTGGAGACCCAGGTGCCATGGGTCGACTGAGATGACTGTCTGATGCACCACCTGTGCCCCCTACTGTGCCAACCTGCTGTGCTTTAGCCACCCGGCGCGCCGCTCGTTGTTGTGAGCGTCGCTCCTCCGCCCTCCGTTATTGTTGGAGGGCGACTACCTCCAACTGCCCAGTAGCATCCTTCACGAGCCTCCTCCACAGAGGCCGATCTTGACACCGCTGGTACCAGTCATCGGCAAGTCCACTTAGCTCCACGTCCTCCCATACCACATCACTCCATCTCTTCTCTAGCCCGTACCGCGCCCGCTTAGCCCCCTCGATCCGGCCGAACAAAAGCTGTTTCGGCATGCGGTGGCTGGGCATGCGGGCTACATGACCCAGCCATCGCAGCCTTGCCCGCTGGAGGAGCTCACCGATGGGACCTTGCCCAGATCTTTCAAGGATTTGTGAGCTCATACAATCCAGCCTGGTTAAACCCAGGATGGATCGTAGGCAGGCCAGCCTAAATGTTTCTAACCGGCGAAGATGTTCCATTAGGGGGGTCCACGTTTCGCACGCGTAGAGAAGGGAGGGAATGACCATGGCCGAGAAGACCTGAAGCTTAGTGTGGAGCGACAGACCAGGTAGCTTCCACACAGCATTACGCAACCGATGAAAAGATAATGCTGCTCGACTGATTCGGAGTGAGACCTCCGCTGTTAAACTGGAGCCGGTCATAAGCACACTTCCCAGGTATGGGAAACTCTCCACTCTCTCCACAACTGCCCCATCACCGATTGGGAGTTGTGGGGGTGGAGTGTCCGATGGTACAAAATACCCAGGCAGGTGCTTAGTTTTGGTGGGGCTGATGGTAAGGCCCCATCTCTTAGTGGCACGCTCCAGTCTCAGCAGCAGCATTTCCAACTCCTCCTCTGAATGAGCAGCTATTACCAAATCATCGGCATACATAACGTGGTTGAGCAATAGGGAGGCATCCCTTGACCGCACCCGGGCATTGATCATCTTCCCATTATATCTGTACCATATGGAGATTCCCCCGGTACAGCTATTGAAGGCTTCACAAACTACGTGGTTAAAATAGATGTTAAATAATGTGGGAGCCAGAGGACATCCCTGTCACACCCCAAGGTGTACAGGGAATGGCTCTGACTCCTGGCCACGTAGTTTTACCCGGGCCCGCTCACTATCATGAATGATCGTGAGCAGAGGGTCAGGTACTCCAAAAGCACGAAGAAAAACCCAGAGCCCAGGCCTACTGATGGTATCATAGGCCTTGACCAGGTCAATAAAGCAGAGATGTAGGTCTTACTGGAATTCCCTACACCTCTGCTGTAGCAGACGGACAGAAAATATGGCATCTGTGCAGGACCGCCCTTTCCTGAAACCGCATTGGGACTCCGCAAGCCTCTCCACAGCGTGCCTGGCAAGGCAAAGTTGAATAATCCTTGCCAGGACCTTTCCCGGCACACTGAGGAGTGAGATGCCCCTGTAGTTATTACAGTCTGTGCGGTCCCCCTTCTTAAAGAGGGGGACCACCAGGGCATCCTTCCAATCCTGCGGAACCCGTCCAGTGGTCCAGACTGTTGTTATGATGTCATGTAGGGCAGTCTGTGCACAAACGCCACCCTTCCTCATCATTTCGCTTGGGAGATCATCTCTGCCCGGTGCCTTTCCTGGTCTCAGACTCCGGATCACCTTCAGTACTTCCTCAACAGATGGCACCTCAGCCAGCCACTCACAGGGGGTGACTTTTTCCAATATTTGAGGCACCGCAGCTTCAGCAGGGTCATCCCCACTTTGTGCCACGATGTTTTCCTGGCTGAGGGATTTCCCCTCCCCCAGGACCTCACAGAAATGCTCAGCAAATCTGAAAACCTGTTCCTGGGGGTCAGAGATTGATGGTAATAGGTGTGGCGCTGCAGGTTACTTTTTTGATGGAGTTAAATAGGGATTTGTGATCGCAGGCCACTGAGGCAGACTCCATCTCCTCAGCAACCCGCGACCACCACCCATCCTTGCAGTGCCTCACGGCTCTCCTAACCTCTGAGCGAAGGCTGCGGTAAGCCTCCTCATTCTCTGACGTGGGATGTTGTAGCCGATGAGAGTGGGCCTGTCACTTTTTCTCAACCATCCTGAACACCTCCTCTGTCAGCCAGGGTCTTTGGGGAGGTCTGGACCGTGTATTCAAAGCAGCCATTGCAGCTGCATGAGTCACAGTCCTAAACATCGCCCATTTACCCTCGACATCAGGAGGAGTGGGGGACGATGCCAACCCCAGCCGCAAGCGATGATGAAATTCTCGCTTGCAACTTTCACCAGCTAACTGAGACCAGGCCACTTTAGGTTGGAATGGGGTCCTGGGAGTACACCCACCACCAGAGTGGAAGAATGGCAGGCGCATCTTACAGATGACTAGTCGATGATCAGAGGGCAGATCAGCTCCACGGTAGGTCCTGGTGTCAAGCACATGGGCTCGCATCCGCTGGTCCGTCACTATGTAGTCCAACAGATGTTCTTGCTTGGACCCGGCATGCATCCATGATGTTGTGTGGATGCGCCGATGCCGGAACAGCGTGTTGGTAATTACAAGCCCATGGGCTGCACAAAAATCTAGCAGCCTCCTACCGTTGTTATTGAGCTGATCTGGCCCATGCCCTCCAATCACTCCAGACCAAGTGCCAGCATCATGACCAACTCGGGCATTTAAGTCACCCAACAAGATGACTCTATCCCGAGGGGCCACTTTAGCCAGCACCTGTGACAGGAGGTCATAGAAGGCATCTGACTCATCGGCTTTGCCTGCATCCTTCCACGGATGTTCGTCTTCAGTGGGGGCATAAGTAACTACGACCACCACTCTTCGCCTCTGGTTGATGGAAAGGCGAGCCCAAAGTAGCCTGGGGCTTACAGCTTCCCACACCTCATCGCCACGCTCCCACGCCCCCTTCATTATTTTGTTCAGAAGAAGAGCCACACTCTGTTGTTTGGCAGTCTCCTGCCCCGAGTAGAGGACTGTCCACCCCTCATGGTGGTTGGAGCTAGAACCGGTCCACCGGACCTCCTGAATGCCACAGAGATCCAGGCGGTACTGGTCCAGCTCCCGACAGAGGAATTTGCAGCCTCTCTTCCGCAGTGAGCGTTCGAACATTCCACGTGGCCACACGAAGTGGCTTTTCTTTGTTTCTGGAGGAGCCCCGAGGGTAGAGATTCAATCTCCTGGCTCCGCCAATTGGGGTTTGTCCTGGAGGCGTCATCAACGTCTGTCCCCCTGGGGCCTCTGGCACAAGCTTATTAGTTCCATATTTTAGTCGTAGTTTAGTGGTAATTAATTGAAGGTGGAGGGGTTACCAACCCCTCGCACCCGTCCAGAGCCCCCGTTTGGCCACTGTGGTGGTTACAGACGCCATGAGGGGAGAGGCCAATCGGAATTGGCACCTCCCCCCACAGCACTGTCCACGACAGAGTTGCCCGTCCGGCACCACGAGGAGTTAGGGGGTTGTTTTGCCGGACTATGATACCATCAGTAGGCCTGGCCTCTGGGTTGTTCTTCGTGCTTTTGGAGTCCCTGACCCTCTGCTCACGATCATTAAGGACCTTCATGATGGTGAGCGGGCCCAGGTAAAACTACGTGGCTGGGAGTCAGAGCCATTCCCTGTACACCTTGGGGTGCGACAGGGATGTCCTCTGGCTCCCACATTATTTAACATCTATTTTGACCACGTAGTTCGTGAAGCCTTCAGTAGCTGTACCGGGGGAATCTCCATATGGTACAGATATAATGGGAGGCTGATCGATGCCCGGGTGCGGTCAAGGGATGGCTCCCTATTGCTCAACCACATTATGTATTTCGATTTAAAGCTTTCGTGACTGCAATGATTCATCTTCTTTGGTTCTTTCGGTAAAGTCACGTAGAATGAGAATAAAATAATAAATTGATAAAATAAAATAACACAATAATATTCTCACGACGTTTCGGCCACAACACAAGCGGCCTTCATCAGGTGAAGGGACGAGACTGTCTGGTAGGACAGCGCTGGAGTGAAAGAGCCACGTTCAGATCACGACCTTTAAGCTGTGTGAGAGGAAACAAAGCGCCTTGACAAAGGAATTAGCATATAATTTAGCATTGAAATGGCTGAGTGATTAGCTTGTGAATGGTCACAGAAATAGCTATGTTAAAAGTTAAAGCATACACATCCGCAGAGGCACCCCTTGACAAAGGAATTAGCATAGAATTTAGCATTGAAATAGCTAAGTTAAAGCATACACATCCGATGATTTGGTAATAGCTGCTCATTCAGAGGAGGAGTTGGAGACGCTGCTGCTGAGACTGGAGCGTGCCACTAAGAGATGGGGCCTTACCATCAGCCTCACCAAAATTAAGCACCTGCCTGGGTATTTTGTTCCATCGGACACTCCACACCCACAACTCCCCATCGGTGATGGGGCAGTTGTGGAGAGAGTGGAGAGTTTCCGATACATGGGCAGTGTTCTTCTGACCGGTTCCAGTTTAACAGCAGAGGTCTCACTCCGAATCAGTCGAGCGGCAATATCTTTTCATCGGTTGCATAACGCTGCGTGGAAGCTACCTGGTCTGTCGCTCCGCACTAAGCTTCAGGTCTTCTCGGCCACGGTCATTCCCTCCCTTCTCTACGCTTGCAAAACGTGGACCCCCTTAATGGAACATCTTCGCCGGTTAGAAAAATTTAGGCTAGCCTGCCTACGATCCATCGTGGGTTTAACCAGGCTGGATTGTGTGAGGAGCTCACAAATCCTTGAAAGATCTGGGCAAGGTCCCATCTGTGAGCTCCTCCGGCAGGCAAGGCTGCGTTGGCTGGGTCATGTAGCTGGCATGCCCAGCCACCACATGCCAAAACAGCTTTTGTTCGGCCGGATCGAGGGGGTTAAATGGGCGCGGCACGGGCTAGAGAAGAGATGGAGTGATGTGGTACAGGAGGACGTGGAGCTGAGTGGACTTGCCGATGACTGGTACCAGCGGTGTCAAGATCGGCCTCTGTGGAGGAGGCTCGTGAAGGATGCTACTGGGCAGTTGGAGGCAGTCACCCTCCAACAACAATGGAGGGCGGAGAATCGACGCTCACAACAACGAGCGGAGCGCTGGGTGGCTAAAGCACAGCAGGTTGGCACAGTAAGGGGCACAGGTGGTGCATCAACCAGTCATCTCAGTCATCTCAGTCAGTCGACCCGTGGCACCTGGGTCTGCCCCGTGACCTCCTGCCAGCGGGCGTTCGACACTTCACGTGGCCTCAAGGTGCACATGGCCTGGCACAAGCGTCGTGGTGACGTCACCGCCATTTAGTGGCGAATGGCGGTTGTTGTTGTTGTGTGTATGTGTTACACACTGTGTGTGTGTATGTACACTGTGTGTTTGTATGTGTACACTGTGTGTGTGTTACACACTGTCTGTGTGTCTGTGTGTGTACACTGTGTGTGTCTGTGTGAGTACACTGTGTGTGTGTGTATGTACACAGTGTATCTGTGTGTGTTACACACAAACACACACTGTGTGTATGTACACAATGTGTGTGTGTACACTGTGTGTATGTACTCTGTGTGTGTGTATGTACTCTGTGTGTGTGTTACACACAAACACACACTGTGTGGATGTACACCGTGTGTCTGTGTGTGTGTGTGCACATGGCCTGGCACAAGCGTCGTGGTGACGTCACTGCCACTTAGTGGCGAATGGCGGTTGTGTGTGTGTACACTGTGTCTTTGCGTACTATGTGTCTGCGTGTTTGTGTGCTCAGAATCTGTACAGAACCACGGTGCCGTACGACCCAGAGGGAATTCTTGGATCGCTGAACGTGGTTCTCAGCGCCTTCCTGGGTCTGCAGGTCTGTGAGGGAGACACGGGTACACTGTGTGTGTACACTGTGTGTGTACACACACCAGGGGATTCTGGGATCGCTGAACGTGGTTCTCAGCACCTTCCTGGGTCTGCAGGTCGGTGAGGGAGACACGGGTACACAGTGTACACTGTGTGTGTGTGTGTACACACACACACAGTGTACACACACACACAGTGTACACACACCAGGGGATTCTGGGATCGTTGAACGTGGTTCTCAGCGCCTTCCTGGGTCTGCAGGTCGGTGAAGGAGACGCGGAGGTTGTTAGGGCTCAGCGATTTGCGGGACATTTTTCATCGCGATTTTTCACGACAGACATTGCGATGGCAATTTGATTTGCAATTCAATTTTGAAAAGTAAAATTTCTGTTCAATTTTCACCACGTGTTAGATTTTAAATGTGCGATCGAGCATTACCAACGTGATACCGTCAACGTACGAACCGCTCTCTAGAGACTAGGGGCTCGACTATTTGTGGGAAAATTCTAATTGCGATTTGCGCGACAGACATTGCAATCGCGATTTGATTTGCGATCAAAAAATTCAAGTCAAATATCAGTTCAATATTCACTGTGCAATAGATTTACAACATGTGATGGAGCATTACCAACATGATACCGTCAAAGTATGAACCGCTCTCTATATATTCTAATGCGAGAGTGAGAGCTTAAAAGGTACGAATTGCTTCCAACATGTATTTATTAAAATGTTTTAATTGAAATGGAACGATGGAAAGTATAAACAATTGTGAAGTTAAATAAATAAAGTTATCATAATAAACAATAAAAAACAATTCCAATAAGAAAGTAATTTGGACTTTTCAAATCGCCAAAAAATCGCAGCCATTGCGATTTGCCAGTCGCATTGTTTAGAATTGCAATTAATCGATTTTAAATTGATGTTGTTGTTGATGATGTTGTTGATGTTGACGGCTGTGCAGGCTGCCCGCACCGTCCTCTCCTTCCCGGGTGACCACCGAGGCATCGTCCGGCGCTTCCTCCTGTGGGCGGCTTTGCTGGTGAGACACAAACACAACAACACAACAACACCACCACAACCACCACAACTACACCACAACAACAACCAACACCTCCACCACAACAACACCACCACAACAACAACTACAGCCACAACACAACAACCACCACCTCCACAACAACACCACAACCACAACAACACCACAATCACAACAACACCACAACAACAACACGACAACACCATCACAACAACAACACCACCAAACCACCACAACAACAACACAACAACACCACCACAACAACAACCACCACAACACCACAAAAATAACAACCACCACAACAACCACGACAGTGTGTAGGTGGTAAAGTGCGGACATTGTGTAGGTGGTACAGTGTGTAGGTGGTACAGTGTGGATAGTGTGTAGGTGGTACAGTGTGGATAGTGTGGAGGTGGTACAGCGTGGACAGTGTGTAGGTTGTACAGTGTGGACAGTGTGTATGTTGCACAGTGTGGAGTGTGTAGGTTGTACAGTGTGAACAGTGTGTGTTGTACAGTGTGTAGGTGGTACAGTGTGGGCGGTGTGTAGATGGTACAGTGTGGACAGTGCATTGGTGGTACAGTGTGGACAATGTCGACAGTACAGTATGGTGTGTGTCTGTGTGTCTGTGTGTGTCTGTGTGTGTCTGTGTGTGTTTGTGTGTGTATGTCTGTGTGTCTGTGTGTGTGTGTCTGTGTGTGTGTGTGTGTCTGTGTGTGTCTGTGTGTGTGTCTGTGTGTGTCTATGTGTCTGTGTGTGTCTGAGTGTGTGTGTCTCTGCTCCGTCACCCCCAGGGAGTGATCTCCGCCGTGTTGACCAAGTGCACGAGGGACGAGGGCTTCCTGCCGGTCAACAAGAACCTGTGGTGAGTAGACACAACCACCTCCACCACCACCTCCACCACCACCTCCACCACCACCACCGTCACCACCACCACCGTCACCACCACCACCATCACCACCACCACCGTCACCACCACTACCACCACCACCATCACCACCACTTCCACCACCTCCACCACCTCCACCACCACCGTCACCATCATCACCACCACCACCATCACCACCATCGCCACCACCACCACCTCCACCGTCATCACCACCATCACCACCACCACAACCATCACCACCGTCACCACCACCATCACCACCATCATCACCACCTCCACCACCACCTCCACCACCACCACCATCACCACCACCGTCACCATCATCACCACCATCATTACCATCACCACCACCACAACCATCACCACCGTCACCACCACCATCACCACCATCATCACCACCTCCACCACCACCTCCACCACCACCACCATCACCACCACCGTCACCATCATCACCACCATCATCACCATCACCACCACCGCCACCACCACCGCCACAACCACCGCCACCATCACCGTCACCACCGTTATCACCACCATCACTTCCACCACCATCATCACCACCACCATCACCTCCATCACCATCACCGCCACGGTGTTTGTTGGGTGACTTCCCCCCCAGGTCGACGTCGTTTGTGACAGTCACCGCCTGCTTTGCGTTCCTGCTGCTGGCAGCGCTGTACCTCACCACAGACGCCCTGCAAGTGTGGAGCGGCACTCCCTTCCACTACGCAGGTGACTTAGTCACTCACTCAGTCACTCACTCAGTCATTCACTCACTCAGTCACTCACTCAGTCACTCACTCACTCAGTCACTCACTCAGTCACTCAATCAGTCACTCACTAAGTCACTCAGTCAGTCACTCCCTCATTCACTCAGTCACTCACTCAGTCACTCACTCACTCAGTCACTCACTCAGTCACTCAGTCACTCACTCACTCACTCAGTCAGTCAGCCACTCACTCACTCAGTCACTCACTCAGTCAGTCACTCACTCACCAGTCACTCACTCAGTCACTCACTCACTCAGTCAGTAAGTCACTCACTCACTCACTCAGTCACTGACTCACTCACTCAGTCACTCAGTCAGTTACTCACTCAGTCACTCACTTAGTTACTCACTCAGTCACTCAGTCAGTCACTCACTCAGTCACTCAGTCACTCACTCAGTCAGTCACTCACTCAGTCACTCACTCACTCAGTCACTCACTCACTCAGTCACTCACTCAGTCACTCAGTCACTCACTCAGTCACTCAGCGACCCCCCCGTGACCCCCGTGACCCCCAGGCATGAACCCGCTGCTGCTCTACGTGGGCCACGAGCTGCTGGCCTCCTTCTTCCCCTTCCGCTGGGGGGTCCCCTCGGCCCACCCCGTGGGGCCCCTCCCCCACGCGTGGCCCCTGGCCCAGAACGTGGCGGCCTGTGCCCTGTGGGTGGTGGTGGCCTGGCGACTTCACCACCACCGCTTGTTCCTCAAGCTGTGACCAACAACAACAACACCACCTCCACCACCATCAACAACATCACCTCCACCAACAACACCACCACTACCACCACCAACAACATCACCTCCACCAACATCACCTCCACCACCACCGCCTCTTCCTCAAGCTGTGACCACCAACAACAACACCACCACTACCACCACCATCAACAACACCACCACTACCACCACCAACAACAACACCACTACCACCACCATCAACAACACCACTACCACCACCGCCTCTTCCTCAAGCTGTGACTACCACCACCAACAACAACGCCACCATCACCACCGCCATCACCACCACCACCTCAAGCTGTGACCACCACGGCGCCAATGTGGACGCGATGGCGGTGGCGGTGGTGGTGGTGGCGGCGGTGGTGGCGGCGATGGTGGTGATGGTGGTGGTGATGGTGGTGGTGGTGATGGTGGCGGTGGTGATGGTGGCGGCCGTGCCAGGGTCACAGCGGCCGTGTGAACGGTCACGGTGGTGACTTTGCCAGGGTTCTCAGTGGCCGTGTGAGGTTGCGTACAACTTGATCGTGTTTGTAAAAGATGATATCAGGCTCACTCAAAGTGGCCGTGCTGGGTTTATAAGGGACGTGTCAGATTAACGATGGCTGTGCTGGGTTTATAAGGGACGTGTCAGATTAACGATGGCCGTGCTGGGTTTATAAGGGACGTGTCAGATTAACGATGGCCGTGCTGGGTTTATAAGGGACGTGTCAGATTAACGATGGCCGTGCTGGGTTTTTAAAGGACGTGTCAGATTAACGATGGCCGTGCTGGGTTTATAAAGGACCCTTTGGGTTTATAACGGACTATATCAGAGCTCCTGGTTAGCCAGCAGGATGCAGAGGCCCCTAACAGACTGTAGGGGGCAAGTGACAGACACACACACAGACGCACGCACGCAGACACATGCACACACACACGCACACACGCACACAGTCACACGCACAGACACGCGCACAGACACACGCACAAACACACGCCACACGCGCACAGACACACGCACACAGACACACGCACACAGACACACGCACACAGACACACGCACACACGCACACACAGACACACACAGACACACCAACAACCTCCATTCGCCACTAAGTGGCGGTGACGTCAACACGACGCTTGTGCCACGCTATGTGCACCTTGAGGCCACGTGAAGTGTCGAACGCCCGCTGGCAGGAGGTCACGGGGCAGACCCAGGTGCCACGGGTCGACTGAGATGACTGGCTGATGCACCGCCTGTGCCCCCTACTGTACCATCCTGCTGTGCTTTAGCCACCCGGTGCTCCGCTCGTTATGAGCGTCGCTCCTCTGCCCTCCGTTGTTGTTGGAGGGCGACTGCCTCCAACTGCCCAGTAGCAGCATCCTTCACGAGCCTCCTCCACAGAGGCCGATCTTGACACCGCTGGTACCAGTCATCGGCAAGTCCACTCAGCTCCACGTCCTCCTGTACCACATCACTCCATCTCTTCTCTAGCCCGTGCCTGCGCCCGTTTAGCCCCCTCGATCCGATCGAACAAAAGCTGTTTAGGCATGCGGTGGCTGGGCATGCGGGCTACATGACCCAGCCAACGCAGCCTTGCCTGCTGGAGGAGCTCACCGATGGGACCTTGCCCAGATCTTTCAAGGATTTGTGAGCTCCTCAGACACACACACACGCAGACACAAGCACGCAGACACACGCAGACACACGCAGACACACGCGTGCAGGCACACGCACACACAGAGAGACCAATGCAAATACCCGCCATTCGCCACTAAGTGGCGGTGACATCACCACGACGCTTGTGCCAGGCTAGGTGCACGTTGAGGCCACGTGAAGTGTCGAACGCCCGCTGGCAGGTCACGGGACAGACCCAGGTGCTGTGGGTTGACTGAGACTACTGGCTGAGGCACCACCTGTGCCCCCTACTGTGCCAACCTGCTGTGTTTCATCCGCTCGGCGCTCCGCTCGTTGTTGTGAGCGTCGCTCCTCCGTTGTTGTTGGAGGGCGACTGCCTCAAACTACCCAATAGCAAACAAAAGCCGTTTCGTCATGCGGTAGCTGGACATGTGGGCTGCATGACCCAGCCAACGCAGGCTTGCCTGCCGGAGGAGCTCACCGATGGGACTTTGTCCACATCTTTCGAGGATTTGCGAGCTCCTCACACAATCCAGCCTGCAGGTTAAACGCAGGATGGATCGTAGGCAGCCTGAATGCTTCGAACCGGTGAAGATGCTCAATTAAGGGGGTGTCCACGTTTCGTAAGCGTAGAGAAGAGAGGGCACGAACTGGTCTTTTTCCTGGTCTGGCAGTAGCGTTAAGATGTTAAAACACCAAACGGAAACCTTTAGGAAGGGATCAAATGACCGCACACGCGGTGCTGATGATGATTTAAGTGTTGCATAGCTCCCCAGTGGCGTCCTCGATGAGACAGCGTCCCAGGCAAGCCGCCGAAGCGGCAGCATCTGCGCCCCGCGCGTTCCAACTTCTTTGGCGCTGTGCGTAGCCAAAGCGCGCAAACCCGAGGCAGCCGTGGAAGGTGAACAACACCAAAAGGAAACAAGCGAGCGGGGCATAATCTTTGGGTCTTTAGCCCAAGTATCGTGTTGATAGGTTCGGGGAAGGGCAATAAACTTGACAGCAGCAGCAAGCAAGCGGCAGTTATAAAGGTTTAATTTTCACGACGACGATCACGACGACGATGATTTTTAGAAGTGCACCGCGGTTCTCGGTGTGTGGGGTGGGGGGGGGAAGGTTTCACCACCGCTCTGCTCGGCGCTTTGTGTCACGAATCTGAATAAAGGTCGCACGCCGTCGGTGGTCTCGTTGTGCCGTTACTTCCCCGTCGGCAGTGGAATTGCAAAAAAACGGAGGTGCAACAACAACCGCCATTCGCCACTGAGCCGCGGTTGACGTCACCATGGCGCCCTGTGCCAGGCTAGGTGCACGTTGAGGCTATCACGTGAAGTGTCGAACGCCCGCTGGCAGGAGGTCACGGGGCAGACCCAGCAGGTGCCACGGGTCGACTGACTGAGATGAGTGGCTGATGCACCACCTGTGCCCCCTACTGTGCCAACCTGCTGTGCTTTAGCCACCCGGCGCTCTGCTCGTTGTTGTGAGCGTCGCTCCTCCGCCCTCCGTTGTTGTTGGAGGTCGACTGCCTCCAACTGCCCAGTAGCCTCACGGTGCACCTAGCCTGGCACTGCCCAGTAGCCTCAGCGTGCACCTAGCCTGGCACTGCCCAGGAGCCTCAGCGTGCACCTAGCCTGGCACTGCCCAGGAGCCTCAGCGTGCACCTAGCCTGGCACTGCCCAGGAGCCTCAAGGGGCCCCCGGTGAGCCAGAGACGAGGAAAAAAAAACTAAAAACCCCAAAAAACCAACACAGAAACCAGACCCGCACCACCACCACCACCGCCACCGCCACCACCGCCACCACCGCCCTCCTCCTCCTTCACCCCCCCGGTGACGCCGCCGCTCACCGGCGCCCCGCGATGCTCACGGTGCCCTGGCGCACGGCGAGCGCCGGGCGCAGCGGCTGCGTGAACCGGTGGTGGAAGCGGTGCAGCAGCCTCCCAGAGTCGCCGCAGTAGAACGCGAGCAGCCCCTCGTGCCAGGCCAGGCGCACCGCCACCCTGCCGGGCGGCGGCGGCGGCGGCGTCGCCGGTGCCGCGCGAGCCCCACCCCCACCACCACCACCACCCCCACCACCCCCCCCACCACCACCACCACCCCCACCACCCCCCCCACCACCCCCACCACCCCCACCCCCACCACCCCCACCACCACCACCACCCCCCCCACCCCCACCACCCCCACCACCACCACCCCCCCCCTCCTCCTCCTCCTCCTCCTCGTCGCCGCGACCCCCCGCCGGCGTCTCGGCCCCGGCGTGCAGCGCCGTGAGGCGCCCCCCGCGCTTCCTCAGCGCCCAGGAGCCGGCGTCGGCGCCCAGGGGGGTGCACCGGCGGTCGGCGTGGCCGCGGTCGCCGTAGGCCGCCCCCAGGGCGCAGTCCTCGCTGCCCGAGACGTCCACCAGCCAGCAGCTGAGCTCCGACGAGAGGCGCTGGCAGCAGAGGGCCGCCGGCGGAGCTGTGGCGGTGGTGGCGGTGGTGGCGGTGGTGGCGGCGGCGGTGGTGGTGGTGGCGGCGGTGGCGGCGGCGTTGTGGGTGAGGCGGCGGAGGTCGGGCGACGCGGAGAGCGGCGGGGAAACGGTGGCCAGGTCCAACGTCGGGGAGCAGTCGACTGGTGGGGGGGCGCACGCACAGACACACACACACAGTGACACACACACAGTGACTACACACACACACACAGTGACACACACACACACACAGTGACACACACACACAGTGACACACACACAGTGACTACACACACAGTGACACACAGTGACACACACACACAGTGACACACACACACACAGTGACACACACACACAGTGACACACACACACAGTGACACACAGTGACACACACACAGTGACACACACACACAGTGACACAGACACACAGTGACACACACACACACACAGTGACACACACACACAGTGACACACACACACAGTGACACACACACACAGTGACACAGACACACAGTGACACACAGTGACACACACACACAGTGACACACACACACAGTGACACAGACACACAGTGACACACACACACACACAGTGACACACACACACAGTGACACACACACACAGTGACACACACACACAGTGACACAGACACACAGTGACACACACACACAGTGACACACACACACAGTGACACAGACACACAGTGACACACAGTGACACACACACACACACACAGTGACACACACACACACAGTGACACACACACAGTGACACACACACACAGTGACATACACACACAGTGACATACACACACAGTGACACACACACACAGTGACACACACACAGTGACACACACACACAGTGACACACACACAGTGACACACACACAGTGACACACACACACAGTGACACACACACAGTGACACACACACACAGTGACACACACACACAGTGACTACACACACACAGTGACACACACACAGTGACACACACACACAGTGACACACACACAGTGACACACACACACACAGTGACATACACACACACAGACACACAGTGACACAACAACAACAACAACAACAACCGCCATTCACCACTAAGTGGCGGTGACGTCACCACGACGCTTGTGCCAGGCTATGTGCACCCTGAGGCCACGTGAAGTGTCGAACGCCCGCTGGCAGGAGGTCACGGGGCAGACCCAGGTGCCACGGGTCGACTGACTGAGATGACTGGCTGATGCACCACCTGTGCCCCCTACTGTGCCAACCTGCTGTGCTTTAGCCACCCGGCGCTCCGCTCGCTGTTGTGAGCGTCGCTCCTCCGCCCTCCGTTGTTGTTGGAGGGCGACTGCCTCCAACTGCCCAGTAGCATCCTTCACGAGCCTCCTCCACAGAGGCCGATCTTGACACCGCTGGTACCAGTCATCGGCAAGTCCACTCAGCTCCACGTCCTCCTGTACCACATCACTCCATCTCTTCTCTAGCCCGTGCCGCGCCCGCTTAGCCCCCTCAATCCGGCCAAACAAAAGCTGTTTCGGCATGCGGTGGCTGGGCATGCGGGCTACATGACCCAGCCATCGCAGCCTTGCCTGCCGGAGGAGCTCACCGATGGGACCCTGCCCAGATCTTTCAAGGATTTGTGAGCTCCTCACACAATCCAGTCTGGTTAAACCCAGAATGGATCGTAGGCAGGTCAGCCTAAATGTTTCTAACCGGCAAAGATGTTCCATTAGGGGGGTCCACGTTTCGCAAGCGTAGAGAAGGGAGGGAATGACCGTGGCCGAGAAGACCTGAAGCTTAGTGCGGAGCGACAGACCAGGTAGCTTCCACACAGCGTTACGCAACCGATGAAAAGATATTGCCGCTCGACTGATTCGGAGTGAGACCTCTGCTGTTAAACTGGAGCCAGTCATAAGCACACTGCCCAGGTATGGGAAACTCTCCACTCTCTCCACAACTGCCCCATCACCGATTGGGAGTTGTGGGGGTGGAGTGTCCGATGGTACAAAATACCCAGGCAGGTGCTTAGTTTTGGTGGGGCTGATGGTAAGGCCCCACCTCTTAGTGGCACGCTCCAGTCTCAGCAGCAGCGTCTGCAACTCCTCCTCTGACTGAGCAGCTATTACCAAGTCATCAGCATACATAACGTGGTTGAGCAATAGGGAGCCATCCCTTGACCGCACCCGGGCATCGATTAGCCTCCCATTATATCTGTACCATATGGAGATTCCCCCGGTACAGCTATTGAAGGCTTCACGAACTACGTGGTCAAAATAGATGTTAAATAATGTGGGAGCCAGAGGACATCCCTGTCGCACCCCAAGGTGTACAGGGAATGGCTCTGACTCCCGGCCACGTAGTTTTACCCGGGCCCGCTCACCATCATGAAGGTCCTTAATGATCGTGAGCAGAGGGTCAGGTACTCCAAAAGCACGAAGAACGACCCAGAGCCCAGGCCTACTGATGGTATCATAGGCCTTGACCAGGTCAATAAAGCAGAGATGTAGGTCTTGTTGGAATTCCCTACACCTCTGCTGTAGCAGACGGACAGAAAATATGGCATCTGTGCAGGACCGCCCTTTCCTGAAACCGCATTGGGGCTCCGCAAGCCTCTCCTCAGCGTGCCTGGCACGGCGATGCTGAATAATCCTTGCCAGGACCTTTCCCGGCACACTGAGGAGTGAGATGCCCCTGTAGTTGTTACAGTCTGTGCGGTCCCCCTTCTTAAAAAGGGGGACCACCAGGGCATCCTTCCAATCCTGCGGAACCCGTCCAGTGGTCCAGACTGTTGTTATGATGTCATATAGGGCAGTCTGTGCACAAACGCCACCCTCCCTCAGCATTTCGCTTGGGAGATCATCTCTGCCCGCTGCCTTTCCTGGTCTCAGACTCCGGATCGCCTTCAATACTTCCTCAGCAGATGGCACCTCAGCCAGCCACTCACAGGGGGTGACTTCATCCAATATTTGAGGCACCGCAGCCTCAGCAGGGTCATCCTCACTTTGTGCCACGATGTTTTCCTGGCTGTGGGATTTTCCCTCCCCCAGGACCTCACAGAAATGCTCAGCAAATCTGCGAACCTGTTCCTGGGGGTCGGAAATTGGATCACCGTTTTTTCCCCTAATGATGGTAATAGGTGTGGCGCTGCAGGTTACTTTTTTGATGGAGTTAAATAGCGATTTGTGATCACGGGCCACTGAGGCAGACTCCATCTCCTCAGCAACCCGCGACCACCACCCATCCTTGCAGCGCCTCACGGCTCTCCGAACCTCCGAGCGAAGGCTGCGGTAAGCCTCCTCATTCTCTGACGTGGGATTCTGTAGCCGATGACAGTGGGCCTGTCGCTTTTTCTCAACCATCCTGAACAACTCCTCTGTCATCCAGGGTGTCTGGGGAGGTCTGGACCGCGTACCCAAAGCAGCCATTGCAGCTGCATGAGTCACAGTCCTAAACCTCGCCCATTTACCCTCGACATCAGGAGGAACAGTGACACACACACAGTGACACACACACAGTGACACACACACAGTGACACACACAGTGAAACACAGTGACACACAGACACACAGTGACACACACACAGTGACACACACACACACAGTGACACACACACACACACAGTGACACACACACACAGTGACACACACACACACAGTGACACACACAGTGACACACACACACACAGTGACACACACACAGTGACACACACACACACACAGTGACACACACACAGTGACATACACAGTGACACACACACACAGTGACACACACACACAGTGACACACACACACACACAGTGACACACACACAGTGACATACACAGTGACACACACACACACAGTGACACACACACACAGTGACACACACACACAGTGACACACAGTGACACACACACACAGTGACACACACACACACACAGTGACACACACACACACAGTGACTACACACAGTGACACACACAGTGACACACACACACACACACACAGTGACACACACACAGTGACATACACAGTGACACACACACACACAGTGACACACACAGTGACACACAGTGACACACAGTGACACACACACACACAGTGACACACACACAGTGACACACACACAGTGACACACACACAGTGACACACACACACAGTGACACACACACACAGTGACACACACACACACAGTGACACACACAGTGACACACACACAGTGACACACACACACACACAGTGACACACACACAGTGACATACACAGTGACACACACACACAGTGACACACACACACACAGTGACACACAGTGACACACAGTGACACACACACAGTGACATACACACACACACAGTGACACACACACAGTGACACACACACACAGTGACACACACACAGTGACACACACAGTGACATACACACAGTGACACACACACACAGTGACACACACACAGTGACACACAGTGACACACAGTGACACACAGTGACACACACACAGTGACACACACACACAGTGACACACAGTGACACACACACAGTGACACACAGTGACACACACAGTGACACACACACACACAGTGACACACAGTGACACACACACACACAGTGACACACACACAGTGACACACACACAGTGACACACACACACACACAGTGACACACACACAGTGACATACACAGTGACACACACACACACAGTGACACACACACACACAGTGACACACAGTGACACACAGTGACACACACAGTGACATACACACACACACAGTGACACACACACACACACAGTGACACACACACAGTGACACACACACACACAGTGACACACACACAGTGACATACACAGTGACACACACACACAGTGACACACACAGTGACACACACACAGTGACATACACAGTGACACACACACACACACAGTGACACACACACAGTGACATACACAGTGACACACACACACACACAGTGACACACACACACAGTGACACACACACACAGTGACACACACACAGTGACATACACAGTGACACACACACACAGTGACATACACACAGTGACATACACAGTGACACACACACACACACACAGTGACACACACACACACAGTGACACACAGTGACACACACACAGTGACACACAGTGACACACACACACAGTGACTACACACACAGTGACTACACACAC